ATAATATCTAATAAGGAAAATTAATTAATACATGTATTAATTATTGTAAGGTTAGTAAATTATTAGTGATCGACCAAATAATATTCTTGGCTTAATTTCATTATTGTGCAAGTAATGTAGTTTTTAAATAAAGTAAGACATTTAATATGAATTATTATATTTGATAGATTAAAAAATTAATTAAAATAGATTAAAGAAATTTACAACTTGTGCAAGGTAAGTCATTAAAAGGGATTAACAAATTTGATAAATTTAATAATCAAATAAATTAGATACGTTTACATGCGCAAGAAATGTATAATCAAATATTGTAATAAGGTAAGATTTTAGCCACGATTAATTTAAATAATTTTTAATTGAATGCGGATTTTTGGTGGGTAAATATTTAATAAACAAATATAATTTATTAATAAATAATTATAATCTATTAATCATTTTAATAAATAATTATATGTTAGTGAATTTTTTTAACATATTTTAGTATAAAATGTATGAGTGTGTTTTTCTAACAATCTATTTATATAAAGGATAAGTAATTATTACTAAGAAGTCATTTTTAGTGATTTAACATATGTTTTTAACAATTATTACTAACAATATGTTTTTAACATATTTTAGTATAAAATGTATGTGTGTGTTTTTCTTACCAGGATAAGAAATCACTATATTATCACATGTTGAAAGAAAAAATTATATTTTATAAATACAAATATAATTTATTCGTATATATATTTCAGAAGACATAATGCTACATGTTTTTCTTAAGTGTGACGAGCTAAAATATTTAATGCGTATTTCATGAATTAAACAGAGAAAGGATCGCAAAAGGATGTTTTTTAAATCGAGAAAATACAAAAGGTAAGTATTTAAATGAATTTCCTTTTTAGTAGTGTCGATGGTAAAAATAAATCAAAAAATAAATTATAAAAAATCAACCAATAGAATCGCTAGAATTCTTCTGAAAATGGCTGTGTGAGTGCCACGTGTCAAAGTGACTTCTCTTTTAATGTATAGGGGATCAGAAACATCATCTTCTTCTTTTTTTTTGGGTCAAGAAACAAACATTTTCTAACTTACACTAATCGCAGTTGTATAGTGCATAACTATATATTATGGCTGAAATCAGATAAAAACATTATTGGAGGATAATCTCTAAACAATCCTTGGGAGTCTAGGAAGCAAAGAAATAAAGGATTCATAGTATATTTACACATCAAAATGCAAACAAGAATACAAATACTTGGTTACTACTACTTCTGACTTTTGTCAAATTTTAAGACTACAAACAACAAATTCTTCTTTCCTTGAAGCTAAACAAGTAGCTCTCTAATCCTCCTCCTGTTGATTCATTTTCTCTTTTATTGAATCACAGTATAGAACAACCTTTCTGAGACTTCCTCTTCTTTCTCTTCTTGTTCTTGGGTGGCTGGAGAACTACCTTGATAGCCGCATCAAACACCGCTTTTACATTCTGTTGGAGAAGATTAGAAATTGTCAGTGGCTTCAGACATGTAAAGTATTAGATCAAAGCTATTGAAGTTTTTAGGTACTACCTGTTGTGTTTTTGCACTGCATTCAATATAAGCAGGTGCCCCAATCAGCTTCTTTAGTTCTTCACCCTATTTTTGATAACCATCAGTAAGATGAAACACAGACTATTGCATTATCACATGAGAAGAGTGTGAGAGTAAAGGTACCTGAGCAGTAGAGATAGGCACAGCACCAGGGTGCTCAACAAAGAATTGCTTGTCATCTCGAAGATCTAAAAGAGAATTAGTCATCAAATTATCAGAAAACAAGTCCACCCAAGAACAGACAAAAGGAGTTATCATAAGAACCAACCAAGCTTGGTTCCAACGAGGATGATGGGAACACCAGGAGCATAATGTCTCAGTTCAGGTACCCACTGAGAATCAAAAAACAAGAAATTAGAATCACTGGACTATTAGAGAAGTTGCAGTGGGGGAGGGGATTAAAACCTTTTTAGAAACATTTTCATAGCTAGCTTTGCTGACGAGAGAGAAAGCAAGTAAGAAGACATCTGCACCTCGATAGCTCAAAGGTCTTAATCTATTGTAATCCTCTTGTCCTGTTTCATGAGAGTCAAAACACACACACAGAATGACTCACTCACTCTCTCTGCAGGGGAAGTTATTCAGAAAGAATAATGAAATCAAAAGGGTAGCTTGCCTGCAGTATCCCACAATCCCAAGTTGATAGTGTTTCCATCCACAATCACATTGGCGCTGAAATTATCGAACACTGTTGGCACATAGTCCTGAAAAATCAACTAACATTAGCCACAAAATGTACTTCTACAAAGATATCTAACTCACTTTATATGATGATAAAACAGAATAACTCATCCCAAAGAGAAACATAACTATGGTATATGAATCTAAGATCCGGAAACTCTGCAAAGATCAGAAGATTTCACTCACACTAACCATCCAGAGAGTTACTAACCCAATTTATATGATCATAATACACATTAACACATCCTAGAGAAACATGAATACGGTTCTATGAACCTGAGACTGACATCAAATTCAAGCCATTCAGTAACTCTCATAGCAATCTCGAGAATATAAACATAAAGACCAAACCAGATCAAACGACGGTCCTGCAACCTATAAGCTCAAATCTAGAAGAAGAAAGAACAGAGAAAAGGGGAAGACTTTAAAGAAGCTGTACCGTGGGGAAAGTGTTGCTAGTGTAGGAGATGAGCAGACAAGTCTTTCCGACAGCGCCGTCTCCGACCGTGACACACTTGATAAACCTTGAAGCACTCATCTCTCTCTCTCTCAAACTTCTTCAAACCCTAAACTTTTCAAGATTTGGGGATTTTTTTGGGTAAATAGAGAGAGAGAGAGAGTGTGAGGTTCTTAAAGAGGTAGAAGACAAAGCAAGTAGCTGCTCAAAGTCTTCAGCTCAAAGTCTCTTCCTTTTTCTTTTTGTTACAAAAATGAAATTAAATTAAATTGTTCAGCTGGTGCATTTCCCAAAACAAGAAGACCCTACACGAACTTATGGGATGGAAATAAAAATAATTTATTTTGTACTTTTTAATTACTTATTTTCCCTCTAAAACTAAGCAAGTCTATAAACTATTCATTTGTTAAAACGTATTATGATTATCTAAAATGATTGGAGTGTTATTCCCTTTTTTCCAGCCACATTTGCACACTTTTTCTTTTGTCTAAATTGTGTATCTTTATACTTCTCTGAAAATACAATCTCTGTTTTTTTAACAAACCATATGAAGCTAGCTAGATCTGTTTTTCTTACATCCAAGAAGTTTCCGGTCTAAACTTATAATTTTTATGGACGAGAGATAAACGAGAATTTAAAACTTATAGTTAGATAGATATGTTATAACACTGATTGAGTGTTAAGGAGAATAAAAAGAAAGAATATTAATAGTTTTTTATGAATAATAATTAGTTATGTTCACCTTAGGTAAAGAAGAGGGTAAGAAAAAAAGAAAAATTATTAAAAGACATTGATAATTTAAGAGATTCCGTTGTGAAAAGGAAAAGAGAGAATATGTTATGTGTTTGTACTCATATTAGGCTAAAAATGGGGTAGAACAAACTATAAAAATAGAAAAAATAAATAAAATCCAACAAAAATTTTAAAAAGGAGAAAAAGAGGTTTGAAAGATACAACGGTGGATTCTATTTCAGACCCGTAAAAATCTCTGAAACCTGTAAAGTTGAGTGCTAAACATTTCTCTTATATCATTGTCTTTTCTAAAGGCTTATTATTTGAGCTCTCCTTGTTGTTTTTTTATTCCTTCGACAAGGACGAGGTTCCAAGAGGACTCTGGCTTCTTGTTCTACAACATATATAATATATATATATAAACAAAATCATATTCAATGAGAAAACATTCTCTTGATCGATGGCTCTTAGCGGCCGTTCTTGTGGTTCTCCTCTCGTCTTCTTGCACATTCGCCTCAAAAAAAGCGGTGAAAAAGAAGACGAAGGGTAAGGAGGTGACTTATGATGGAACATCTTTGATCGTCGATGGCAAAAGAGAGCTTCTCTTTTCTGGCTCTATCCATTATCCTCGCAGCACTCCTGAAGTATATACATTTCAATCAAATAACCATCTTTTTTGTTTTCTTTGTAAGTTTCTTTGCATTGATATAGAGTTTTTTGGTGTTTGTCTAGATGTGGCCAAGTATCATCAAGAGAGCGAAACAGGGTGGTTTGAACACCATTCAAACATACGTTTTCTGGAATGTACATGAGCCTGAACAAGGAAAGGTAGTTAAAATTTCAAGTATATAAAACATACACATATTTGGATTTTTAAGTAATTTTTGTGTTTGTTTTTATTAGTTCAACTTTTCGGGACGAGCTGATTTGGTGAAATTCATTAAGTTGATTGAGAAGAATGGCATGTATGTAACATTGAGGCTTGGACCATTTATCCAAGCTGAATGGACTCATGGGTAATTAATAATAAATTCATTAACTGTTTCTTTCTATTTTGATTATTCCTTTCTTAAACTTTTCACCATAATGTTTTTTCTTTTAATATTAGAGGACTTCCTTATTGGCTTAGAGAAGTTCCTGGAATTTTCTTCCGTACAGACAATAAAGAATTCAAGGTATTACATTTTAACAAATGTGTGCCTTTTGTTACAAGTAACGAGATGAACATGTATAACAAACAAAAAATTATTGCAGGAACATACAGAGAGGTATGTACGGATGGTACTCGACAAAATGAAGGAGGAAAAATTGTTTGCTTCACAAGGAGGCCCCATCATATTAGGACAGGTCCCAAAAAAAAAATCCTAAAACATATAATACATACTGATCTTATAAATATGAACGGTTAAATAATATGAATATAAAATGCAGATTGAGAACGAGTATAGCGCGGTTCAACGCGCATATAAAGAAGATGGTATGAACTACATTAAATGGGGATCTAAATTGGTCGACTCAATGAATCTTGGGATCCCATGGGTTATGTGCAAGCAGAACGATGCTCCTGATCCTATGGTAATAAAGCCACTATAATGTCTACGTTGTGTTTTGTCTGAAATGGAAGAAAATGTCTTAAGGATTTGAAAAAAACATTGTAACAGATCAATGCTTGCAATGGAAGGCATTGCGGTGATACTTTCCCTGGTCCAAACAAAGATAACAAGCCGTCTTTATGGACAGAGAACTGGACTACTCAGTGAGTTATCTTGTTACTCTAGTTAAAAAGTGTAGAAACTTAAGATTCATTCATGAAAATCCATGGTTTAAGAACTAAATTTATTCAACAGGTTCCGTGTGTTTGGTGATGCACCAGTTAAAAGATCAGTAGAAGATATTGCTTTCTCAGTTGCTAGATTCTTCTCCAAGAATGGAAGTCATGTGAACTACTACATGGTATAATAATAATATCCCTCTTGAATTCTACTAAACTGCTTTCAAAATCTTACAAAAAAAGATTGTTCAAATGAGTATTTTGTTGTGTTATAAATATTGTAGTACCATGGAGGAACCAACTTTGGAAGAACCTCTGCCCATTATGTAACAACTCGATACTACGATGATGCACCTCTTGATGAATATGGTTTAGAGAGAGAGCCTAAGTATGGTCATCTTAAACAACTTCACAGTGCTCTTAACCTCTGCAAGAAACCACTTCTTTGGGGTCAGCCTCGCACCGAGAAGCCTGGAAAGGATACAGAGGTATTACAATAGCATGTAGTACTACTCATCAAGAAAGATTCATTGTTTAGAAATTACTCAACTATATATGTTTTGTAATTACAGATTAGATACTACGAACAGCGTGGAACTAAATCTTGTGCAGCTTTCTTGGCTAACAACAACACCGAAGCTGCAGAAACCATTAAGTTCAGGGGAAAAGATTACGTGATAGCTCCTCGTTCCATTAGTATTCTTCCAGATTGTAAAACTGTTGTTTACAACACTGCACAGGTACTGATGAAAACATTTAATTTTGATGTATTCAATAACAAAATCTTCAACGTGTTATTGTTTATTTGGACTTGACCAGATTGTGTCTCACCACACTTCAAGAAACTTTATGAAGTCTAAGAAGGCGAACAAGAAATTAAATTTCAAAGTGTTCACTGAGCCATTGCCTCATAAGTTAAAGGGTGACTCTTACATACCCGTTGAGCTTTACGGTTTGACTAAAGACAAATCAGACTATGGATGGTACACAACAAGGTAAATACTCACTTCATGTGATTATTATATATTTAAAAAAAAAAACAATGAAGAGAATCTTGACGTTAATTTTGCCATACAGCTTCAAGATCAATGAGAATCAATTACCTAAGAAGAAAGGAGCTAAAACTAATGTGAGAATTGCTAGTCTTGGACATGCATTGCACGTTTGGTTTAACGGAGAATACCTTGGTAAGATTGGTGTATATATGATATGCAAAAATATGAAAATGAGCTATGATGATGATGATGTTAATTTTTTTTCTCTACTACCAGGAAATGGACATGGAAGCCATGACGAGAAAAGTTTTGTTTTCCAGAAGCCAGTTGCACTAAAAGAAGGAGAGAATCACCTTGTTATGCTTGGTGTTCTCACTGGATTTCCAGTAAGTAGAAAATATAACTCAACGTTTTAATTTGAAGCAATATATATATAGATGAAGATATGTTTCATAAATGGTTGGCTTTTTTTTTCTGTTCTAACAGGACAGTGGATCTTACTTGGAGCATCGATACACCGGTCCTCGCAGTGTTTCCATCTTAGGCTTGAGTTCTGGAACACTAGATCTCACTGAAAGCAGCAAATGGGGGAACAAGGTTTGAAATCAGTTTCTTATATAATTGATTTACAACATTGAGAAAACATGTTCTTGATTTGATCCCAATTTTTTAAAAAATCTTTAGGTCGGTATGGAAGGTGAGAGACTCGCAATCCAAACCAGGAAAGGTTTGAGGAAGGTTAAATGGCACAAATTCTCTGGAAAAGCACCAGGACTTACATGGTACCAGGTAATGAAAACAAACCAAACCAACATGGAGTTTTCCTATATTGATTAAAACTCTTAGATCAATCAATATAATGTTAATTTAATATAGAGATTTTCTAATGACCTCCTCACACATTATAATGAATGTGAAACATTTCAGACCTACTTTGATGCACCAGAGAGCGAAAGCGCAGCAGCGGTTCGAATGAGTGGAATGGGGAAAGGATTGATTTGGGTGAACGGAGAAGGCGTTGGAAGATATTGGCAGTCTTTCTTGAATCCATTAAACCAATCCACGCAAATAGAATACCACATCCCTAGATCTTTCTTGAAACCCAAGAAAAATCTTCTTGTTATATTTGAGGAAGAGCCTAATGTGAAGCCTAAGCTTATAGACTTTGTCATCGTCAACAGAGACACTGTTTGTTCTTACGTTGGAGAAAACTACACTCCAAATGTTGGACACTGGATTAGGAAGAAAGACGAGGTACAAGCCATCACAGATAACGTGAGTCTCACGGCTACTCTTAAATGCTCAGGCAATAAGAAGATCGCAGCCGTTGAGTTCGCTAGCTTCGGAAACCCTATTGGTGATTGTGGAAACTTCACAGTTGGTACTTGTAATGCTCCTGTTTCAAAGCAAGTCGTTGAGAAGGTAAACTATAGATTCTGTTTCTTATTATTTGTATAGTGTGTAGCTTGTTTTTGAAGTGTACTAACAAAAGAAACTTGTGCAGCATTGTTTGGGGAAAGCAGAGTGTGTGATTCCGGTGAACAAGAGCACATTCCAACAAGACAAGAAGGATTCATGCAAGAACGTTATCAAGACGCTTGCCGTGCAAGTCAAATGTGCTCGTCAAAAGAAGAAATGAGTGTTGAATGGTTTGTATTCTGCGTTTAATTGACCAATTTCAAAAAAGTGTTGTGGCAGTGTTGATTTTTGTCTCTCGGTTTGTACTTGGTTTCTTGAATTTAAACGTTTACATCCGAGTAAGATATTGAAATATGATCCGAGCAAGAAACAACTACATATTTAATCCATTATTTGTTTTAATAACCATGACTTTTATAAAGTTTCTTTTTGTTTGGTAGTTCATAACATACCAGGAGCAAAAAGACTCTGTATAATCGATAATATTAGGTTTAATTCAGTAGTAAGCATATCAAAAAAAAATTATTATACGTCTTTCTACTCGAAATAAACAAAATTTTCTCAGATGGCCAATGCTTCTCGATGGTGTTGTGATTCATGGCTGTGTTACTGCTCATTGCAAGGTTTGTTAGATTTGAATGATGATGATAACAATATTGTGGGATATCTACCAAAGATCGGTCGATACCTACAAAGTGGGGCATAACCTGAAACTGGACCTAACATAACATGTTAGGTTTGTTAGGTAAGAAGCTTCTTTAAAACATTTTCTTTGCTTTTTGTATTTTCATTAGAAACGGGAAAGAAATAATGTTGGTTGACAGTCACCCACTAGATTGGCTCGGATGGTATCTAATGGACGTAAAGCGTTTTTTTTTTTTGGCGTCATCAAACTCGCTTTATTCCAATTTTTGTTTCTATTATAAATTATGTTCTTACGTAAAAGAGTTGTTTCTATGGAATGTGAAGATTTGTAACCTAACAGTAACATGCGTATAATTTTTTTTTATAAACAATCTAATTTACCGAGGATAGTTAGGAAAATATCTGTTAGATTATATTGCACTATGTATTGGTGCCCATTTTAGGTGTGTACATATTGAAAGTCATTATGTATGTACATTTATTTTAAGATGTGTTTGGTGTGTGGACAACAAATCACATGTATACTCTATCCAATTTCTTTATTATTAATAGATTAAATACTCTGTGTTTCAAAAAAAAAAAAAAAACTCTATTGTGTCGGTAGCAGTTCAGAGTAAATGTAGACCATGAAATCTACCAAACTCTTTAAGATTGTCTTTCAGGTATTCAACAAACTCTTACCAATAAAGCTACTTTCCTTTTCTATAAAGCATTACTTCAAACATTTTTTTTTGCCAACACTCCAAACAATTTTAAAAACCAAAATTATTATTGATACTTTATTGTAAAAATATGGCTATTTAAAAAATTCTCAAGCATGTTTTTTCGTATATTGTAAACCTGATTTACAGACTACCGTACAGTGCCAAACTAAATAGCAAATGTGTAAAATTAAGAAGGCAATGTCTTTTAATATATTATCTCGCGAAGAAAAGAAAAATGTTCACAGGTATTTCAAAAATAGTTGTATGAAAATAGATTATATCAGACCATTCGATATAGAGTTATCAATCCAAAGATTTATTCCATGATAGGCTTGCGAAAAGCTTTTGTCAAGAAACCATGTTTTTCTAGAATTTTTTTCTAGAATTAGGTGGACCTTTACAATTTTAGGAAAACTGAAATTTATGACGAGGAAAATAATTAAAGGATTTGTATTTGGTAGTTGGGAAAGTAAAAAGGTGCGTGTTAGGGCAAATCATTAAAGGATAAACCAAGAAAGCAGGTAGAAATCCACTCTCAATAGATACAAACTCCACGTGAGGCTTCACCTTCCACACTAATTTTTTTTTGACATTTTTAGATATCATCTTTGGTTCACTTTGCTTATTCTTTTTCCCAAAAAAAAAAAAAAAGTTTTTCCAGAAGCTGTACACTGTAGACTCCTGAGCTTGAGCTAGTCACTAATAAATATAGTTGTTTATCAGATTTTATTATGTCATTGTATTTATCATTGCTTCTGATAAAAAATAAATGGAGCTTTGAGAATGAAATGTATATTTTATGACTAGTTCAAATTCCACAAAACGATCTGAGTAATGCTTTAAGACATTACTAACATGTTTATCTTTCATTTTTTGAAAATGCTAACTAACATATTTAAAAATTAAAACTATTGATTTGAATATTCTACTTTGGATGCTCCTTGCAACCTCCCTACCAAACTTACAATGACAACTATTATTTTCTCATTATTGTAACATATATGCCCATGATTCGATGCAGTACGAAACCATCATGCTTTGTCCCAAACAAAATCCTTTCAAATTATTAGTTTTATCATCAAATACGTTTTGTTCTTACAATACCCTTCTTATTATCAGATTCTTTTGTGAGTTATCATAGATTACGTTTAATGTTAGACCAAATCAAGCGGTAAACTTAGCGTAGCGGTAAAATCCTCTTGCAAAAAATAGTGTAACACCGTAAACACACAAATATTATTTTCTGACTCAAAACACTATAATATGTATGTGTTGTGTGGCCTGCAAGTTCTCATAAACAATATACAAAACTCTAGGAATATTCAATTATAATAGAAGGCATGCTACCATTCAAACTCGAACGCGTCTACACGTTATATAATATGGTTTCACACACCTACTCAGCTAAGTACAGTTGGACTCATTTTGAAAATACTGTATAGCGTATTCTCATTGAGAATTTGAAGACGAATCGTCTGAATATTGCAGTTTACAAGTTTAGATTTAAAAAAAAAAACAAATTTAACATATTAAATTTAACATAAAGGGAGCCCACAAGCCACTACTTCAAACGTGTCTTACCAACTCTCTTCTAGAAACAATTTAGGCTTTGCTCTCACCTTTCTCCAACCTCTCGTCTCTCTCTCTCATAAACATCATCTCTCCATATAACCCTACCTTCATCATCACAAGAACCAGAGGAAGAAGAAGATGGGGAGGTCTCCTTGCTGCGAGAAAGACCACACCAACAAAGGAGCTTGGACTAAAGAAGAAGATGATAAGCTCGTCTCTTACATCAAATCTCACGGCGAAGGTTGTTGGCGTTCTCTTCCAAGATCCGCCGGTCTTCTCCGTTGCGGCAAAAGCTGCCGTCTCCGATGGATTAACTATCTCCGGCCTGATCTCAAGAGGGGTAACTTCACCCTCGAAGAAGATGATCTCATCATCAAACTCCATAGCCTCCTCGGTAACAAGTGAGAATCATCACAACAAAATCCTCTGTTTTTTTTCTTGATAATACTCTGTTTCTTATGCTCTGTTTCAACAATACTCTGTTTCTCATGCTCTGTTTTTCATTTTAGGTGGTCTCTTATTGCGACGAGGCTACCGGGAAGAACAGATAACGAGATCAAGAATTACTGGAATACACATGTAAAGAGGAAGCTTTTGAGAGGAGGGATTGATCCCACGACTCATCGGCCGATCAACGAGAGCAAAGCTCCTCGTGATTCACCAAAGTCTAGAGAAACAGAGGACCCGATTGTAAAGTTTTTCTCTTTCAGTCCTCAAATGGAGAAAAAAGAAAGTTTTGGGGGTGAGAGAAATTATCAGGAAGGACTGATTTGCAAAAAGGAGAGAGTTGAGTATCCTGTTGTTGAAGAAAAGTGCTTAGATTTGAATCTTGAGCTTAGAATCAGCCCGCCATGGCAAGACCAACAGCACCACGATGAGACCAAACTCCGGTTTGGGACAGAGAAGTATAGATGCAATGCGTGCCGTTTTGGAGTGGGAAACGGCAAGGAGTGTAGCTGCAGTGATGTGAAATGTCAAATAGAGGACAGTACTAGTAGCAGCTATTCTTCAAGCGACATTAGTTGTAGTGTGGTTGGTTATGACTTCTTGGGTTTAAACACTAGTGTTTTGGATTTTAGTAGTTTGGAAATGATCTGAAATGTAATGAAAAATACTATGAAAATTATTGAAAGCTGTGATAATAACATACTATTGTTCTTTTGTCTAAATTTCATCTTTACTTCCGCTCATTTGTCCTATCATATCTTACTCAAATAGAATTAAAACATAACATGGCCTTCACTAAATACAAATCTTACATGTTCATATCATAGTTGTTATACACCATAGAATTCATGCTAGTCTACTAAAAGATGTGTTTTTTTTTTGTCTCTCATAGTATTTGATATATACTCTACAGTCTACTAAAAGATGTGGAAATTTTCTATTTGAATTCTTTTGGAGTAACAAGTGGCAACGTAAAAGCCAAACCCATGCTTGACAAATGTCATCGGTTATTCCCAAGAGATTTGACATTTCAAGGAAGTAGATAAGCTATGTAAGGATGAGAAATGTGAGAACGATTGAAAGGGTATTACTATTATTAGTGCATGTTTCTATTCCTTGTTACCTTTCTTTAATTTCATCATTTTCATATTAATACAACGCATACGATGTGCGTCTTTGTAACTCTGTTGGTATAATGTCCTTATCAAATGAAGTGTTTTTTTTTTTTTGAACGACCAAATGAAGTGTTTTTCACTCGATTTAACAAGAGTTTCCTCTAGTGTTGAAAGTGTTACACTTTTCACTTTTGTTTTCGCTGGTCAAAAACGATAAAAGTGGGAATAACAAATATGCTCTCGTTGAGAGTCGAACTCAAGACCTCCCGCTTACTAAACGGGTGCTCTAACCAACTGAGCTACGAGAGCTTTTGTGCTTTCTGGAAACTATATTGATTAACAACAAAATATACGCTTTTGGTTGAGTTGGGCTTTAGTAAAGATTGGATCGAGACCCAAGAAACAAATTTATAAACATAAGCAACTTTTTCGGCCGTCATTATTCTAAATTCATTATCCCTTCACAAATATTAAAGATCCATTAGAGGAGGATTTGGATCCTGTGATGTGTGTGTTAAGACATACAAATTGAGTAAATTCAACTGTTTTAGATCCATAAATCTCAATTCCAAATCCGGCCTACAAAATTAGGCCCAGTCTTGAAAAGTTTGTAAACATAACAACCAAGCAATATGTTGAATGCAAATTCTGTCAACTACAGTCCACAAATCACACACCATCATCTAGTGGTTATTAACCTTTTTAAAAATAATTCTTATCTAATACGGTTTTTAATGTTCAGTTTTCTTCATATTTGATACAATATGAGACTTTATTTTATTAGCATTAGCGATAAAAAGATACATAAATGACTAACAAACAGCAACAGAAACAGTAATGGTTGATAAGTTTTGTCAACAAAAGGAAAGGAAGGAAAGTCTCATATGCCAAGTTAAGAACAACAACTAACATTAATAGATAAGTAATTGCTGTTAATGATCACATCATTGACGATGCAACTTAAACGGAATGTAAATATTTTTTATTTGGTCCGGTCCTGGATTTTGTCGAATCCCATCTCGGTTGGGTCTGTGGCTTGAAGCTCATAGTGAATCCCTTCCAACACTTTTCTCAGTCCGCTCTTAGACGTCGCGTACATCATCTTCTCCCTTATCCTCGACGCCTCCGGTGACCTATTCATTTCCACAAAACCGAACGTATCATGGATCGGTTTGGTATGATTGTTATTAAGTTTCTTCGGTTTATTTGTTGGGGGTAAAAGAGTATATTTACACTTTGAGAAGGAAGCTAGAAAGGCTTGTAACATGGCTTACCAGGTGATGAAGAAGAGCTTGCTCATGCGGCAGTTATCGACAGTGACGTAGTCGAAATCAAACACGGCGTAGCGACAGTCATCCTCCGGTAAGGAAGCGGCGAGATCATGGTAGGTCTCGCCGGCGGCACCAACCTTGTCCACGGCGACTTTCTTGGATTTCTCCTCGATCTTGAAAACGATGTAACGGTGCACTTTCTTCCACTTCATCTCCATGAATGATCTCTTGCAATCCTCCAACATCCACATCCCGTTCGTCGAAGCCTACACCATATTGTTATAAAACTTTTAATTATATGACACCAACATGATAAACCAAATAAATAATTGTTTAAACTGTGATATAGACTATATAGTATATGGTTTTACCGTCTTCAAAGCCATAGTGAGTGTTAGTGTTTCTTCTTCTTCTTCTTTCCTTGATGCTTTGAGGGTTGAGAGAAAGTGTGTGTTGAGGAGAGTGTAGGGTGGAGACTTATATAAGTAAATGGTTAGGTAAATGCCACGAAGTTCTCTACTTATTACGAAATTGCCACCCTGTGACTGGCACTTTGTTTTTTTTTTCTTTTAACCATGACTGGCACTTTGATATATGTTTTTACATGAGTTATTTGATGTACTTATTAGAGTATTACAGGTATGTATAGTTCTTTTTTATTTCACTGAAATTAACAATAAGTAGTTCTAGTTACAGTATTTCTTTTAAATTTGAATGTGTGACCATACCAAAGCAAGTAGTCAATGCTAATTAATGTTAGCCAATGGCTAATGAGAAAATCTACTTGGGATAGAAACTTATCATTGTATGTAGACAAAAAAAAAAAAACCACCTATTAAAAGTTTATACTATATTAAGTGTTTTCATTTATCTTTTTCTTCATTAACAAAATTTACGGTTTCAACTTTTATTAGCTAACTGTGTTTTTCCCGTGTGTGTACGAATGTAATTTAGTGCTACTAATTATTCTCTTTTCTTCACAATTATTTAAACATTAGATGTTTTGCCCACATAGACAAACGTAATTTTTATATTTGTTAATTTCTATTTTATTGATTCGAAAACCAACTTATTATTTATGTTTTTTCAAAGATTTAAATCAAACAACAAATTATTTAAAATATATATAATATATATATAATTGATTATATTTAATTATAAATTGTTTTCTCTATTTTTTTTACAGCAATCTAAACTTTTATAACATAATATATTATTTCATATAACAATATAATATATATATATATATATATATATATATATATATATATAAAATAATCTTTTTCTAAGAAAATGTTATTATTTTGAAAATTTTATTATTAATTTATAATCAATTGTCTAATATAATATATAAATCTAATATTATTATTATAAGTTTATAAAAATGCATTAAGAATATCCTTGATGTTAACCGATGTAACATGAGAGTTCAAATGCTAAAAATCATTTCGCAAATAATAATATAGATAATATAAAATAATTGTATATCTTCTATGAATACTTTATTTCTAAAGTGTTATTCATCTTATATAGAAATCATATATATGTATACATAAATAAAAAATCAAAGTTGCGTGTCAGTTGTAAAATATCACTTATACATAATGAATACATATTGAATTAATGCTTTTATTTACACAAAGGTTCAACCCACATGTACTACTTGTGCTTATAGAATCACGATATTGGTGTTACAGAAGTTCCAAATGTTTCCATGCGTGAATTTGGCTCTATACCTATGGGATGTACATACTAGTGTGCAGCTTATTTGGCTTCCTTATTATCAGAAAAAGGAAATAAAAACAACAATTGTCTGAATATATGAGTCATTAACGTTGAAATTTCTCATTTTCTTGTCCTGACGTTTTTCTTTGTAAATTTTAGAACATATCATAAAAAAAAACGCTAAACACATGCGTTATTCTTTTAATGAAATATAACCACACTGACACAATAGAATGGTGCTAATGAAAATGAAAACAAATAAGCAAATCATAATTAACTGTTTACATCTATATTAGCAAGGAAATTGATTAAATTAGAACTGAAAATTGAGAAAATAAGTGAAGGATAGAGAAGAAAAACGCGAGGTATCGAGAGAAGTTGGTCCCAAATAATAGGACTGGATCCAATGCCTACATCCTTCATCGGTCTCTCCAATTTCGTGCTACTCAAAGGCTCAAGGGAACCTTTGCGTGGACTCTAAGGAACGAGAACTAATATAAATATATACTATTGGATAACGGAACTTAGGAATACACGAGAGAAGATTTCCATTGACTGGTGGTAGGAAGACAGTAACACAACTTTTTGAAAAAAAACTTAACCTGAAACTTCCTTTTTTGTAAGGTTGAACAACAACAAAAATGAAGCAATAAGAAACTTCAACTTGAGTTCCAACAAAACAATAGAACTCAAATATCTGCTCTTTTTTTAAATTGAAACGTCCAAGTTTTATCTATTAGATGATGACGTTCAGATATGAATACAATCATATACGAATAAGTATTCATATGGAGGTTCTTGAATATTCATCTAAAAGTCAGCGTATGTAGATAATACAATTTTAAGTTTTAACCATGATCAACTTTACACAACTCGGCTTACAAGTTGATTAGCATGATTCACACTGTTTTCAACTGAATATCGTAATATTTTTTGGGTCGGTAAACAATGGGTTCGCAGAATATAACCTAAAGATACGGTGATAGCCACTACACAATTCCAAGAAAGAATTTTTGCAGTCCCGAAGTTTATAGTCTTACGATGAAATTGTCCATAACGTGTATGGTATAATTCGAGCAATTCACACCATTAATTGTATCATGCCATACGTACATGTGCATATGATTTTCTAGATAATGCATGAATTTATATATAGTTATAGATTCAGTAACGAATATATGATTAATATACATAGACATGAGTTTGCATGGACCCCTTCCTGTTATTATTCGAGTGCAATCAAATAAGAAGCCAAGACACTAAAATCTAAAGCTATCGAAGAAATTGTAAACGCATAAACTTGAGAATATACTAACACTTCTTGCTCCTTTTTGTTCTGTATACAACTTACATCGATCTCTATGGATCAGAATGTCTCCTAAGATTTAAGAAGTATTTATTCAACTTCAGAAATAAAATGATTTTATTGGTGTTTCAGTAGTATTAAAAGCTGGGTTTTTTTTTTCTTTTGAGAAACTCAAAACAGGTTTATAACACACAAGTGTACCAAAACCTAAATGAAATTCTCTTTCTGATTAACAAATGATGTTTGGTTAAAATACTCGACGTTCTTTTGGCAGAAAAAGACCTTATTATAACGCATAAGTGTAAAAGCAAACAAACACTGAAGATCTAAATCATCAAAAGCTATTAAAACAATCACAGACGCATTGAGGGGACATAACCATGTCTCTACAGATGTGTGGATAACAATAGTCCATACATGAGGTGTAAGTACATAATAGCATTATCATGTGTCTATCTATATATACATGTCTTATGCTTCTAATTGATTAATGTCTCCCTTTGTAGTTTGTTATTTGGAGGTTTTGCTTGTAACATCTGGTGGCTTGTCTTCTAAAGTTATTCAGTAGTTAGGCTTTTGACTTGTTGCTCAATATTTGTGTGGACTTTTCTTCTTTGGAATTTTCTATTCACCTTACCATCCTTTCATTTTTTGTTTTCTTTTTTTTTTTCAGTATTGTTATTCGATAAGTAGAAAACATGAACTTTAGAAATTATTAAATATTAGGTTTTGATTTGGATGTTTGAGGTTGAAATTATTAAACATGAACTCATCTCATCACACATCAGAAATCTACATAACTGTAGATTGAGCTAAAAATTATATAAATAAAGTATACTGAAATTCATGAGAAAAAAAACTGAAGTGAAGAGCTACAGATGCGTCCAGCTTTAAAACACTAACTACACTGGGCATTGTGTTCAGAATTCAGATCATCACATCTGCAAAACTATAAATAAAAAGAGAGAGACATGATCTCATAGGAACAGAACCAAGATTTGCTGAGATGTGGAAGCTTTATGTTGTCTCTTTTGTCATCTTTCTTCATCCCATTTGTCTTTAGGGATCTCTCCAGAATCAGCAATCACAACTTTCTTCCTCGGTTTGCCACTATAAGTACCGGCTCCACCTTCAATGGCAAATACATTATCCATTCCTTGTATCACCTTCCCAAACACAACATGTTCCCCTTCCAACCTGTGCACACAAGATTTCACATATGGATACCAAACTCTACACTGAAAAAAGGATAGTCACAGAGCTGAAAAATAGGTTTGTTTGAGTGTACCAGCTAGCCTTGACAGTAGTGATAAAGAACTGTGAGCCATTAGAATCAGGTCCTGTATTAGCCATGGCTACAACACCTACAAATAAGAAATTTGTTTTCCTATGTCATGACATGATAAACTACAATAATACACAAATAAGTTGGTAGAGAAGAGTATAAGCGCACCGGCATGTGCATGCTTAATCTTGAAGTTTTCGTCAGGAAAGGTACCACCATAGATTGACTCACTCCCTTTGCCATCACCATGGATGATGTCTCCTCCTTGGATTACGAATCCAGATATTATTCTATGAAATGGTGTTCCTTTATAGTGTAGAGGCTTTCCATTCGAAGTTTTACCCTTCTCTCCTAAGATAGCGTTTCAAAACCATTAAGTCAGAAACTGAAGCAAATAGTCCATGATAAAGCCAATCATTTAAGTACAAACCTGTGCATAATGCCCTGAAATTTTCTGCAGAAAACAAAAAAAAAAACTCTACCGTCAAAAACTATTTAAACAGTTTAACAGAATCCTGAGATTTGCAGTCAAGATGATGAAGACATTACCTACAGTTTTGGGTACAACAGTGCCATATAATCCAATAACGATCCTGCCTGTAACACAGAGAGCAAAACCAACAAACTGTGAAGGAAGCATATGGCAAAGAAGAGACTCCAAAAACTCACGTACATGACGCCAATAAAGAAGTGTTGTCAATTCAAGTAAAATGGAGAATCAAACTTGTTTTCTTTCTTCATGTCAACTATTTTACAAAATGAAAAAAAAGCAATGTAGCAGTCTTTTTACCTAAGCGTTGGCCGTCGATATCAACATCGAGAAACACTCTGTGTGTAATTTCGAAATTCTGGATTACTTGCTTCTCTTCCTCCTAAGAAATCAAAGAGAGTAAGCAAGTGAGGTACATATAGAAACAATATATAGAAGCTTTTCAGATTCGATTGGTCATATGTAAGATTAGCAGAGCTGAAAAATTCAACCATAATCCTGTCCTTAGGTAGATACAAAGAAAACTAGCCAGCACACGTTCTAATTCATTGTCTAGCTTACTCAACTTATGGTGTACTTAAACTATGCTCTCTTTCAATATTTATTAGATTTTTACAATAGCCCATGAAAATATCAAAAACAAGAGGCTTTAACTACTTACTACTGACACTTAAAAGAACTAAGAGACAAACATTAAACATTGGAAAGCTAAAACCAGTTCCGCATTGCTATCCTCTTGACACAAATAATAATAATCATCAGATGAATCCAAAGCATGACTCTTTGCCCACTTAGATCATCCGGTTATGATTTAACCAAATTGCATAGCGGACACTAATAGCGCCTCACTTAAAACACTTCAATGTGCTTTAACCAAAAGGGACTAAAGAGAAGGCAACTTCACAAAAAGGGTTTCAGATCTCTCATAAATCTTTTTAAAAGAAACAGATCCACATCACAGTTTGAGAAATAAAATGAAAAAAAAAAAACCGTACCTTGCCGGTGTTGAAGAGCGCGAAGATGAGGAAGATAGTAAGGGCAACGAGGAGAAGAAGGCACCTGGGCTGTAACAAAAACGAGATCTCTCTACGCATCTTTCTTTCCTTCTTTAAGAATAATTCATCTCACACAGACAGAGCTCGATCTCACCCCCTCTAAATCCAAGATTTCCCGGATGAAATAAAGTCAGAAACTTTCACTCTTCTAAGATCTCTCTCTCTCTCTCTTGACGTTCGATGCAGTGGAAAATTGTGCAATCTTCGCGGCAATCAAGTTTACAGACACAGTCTAACAAATCGATCTCAATTTCCAACAAGTGTGTTCCGGTTCTCTTCTTCGTCTCTGAAGATGCTTTTGTCTTTTTCTTTTTTTTTGTGATATCCTAATGGGCCTAAATGATGATTAATGGGCCATTATTATTTTTCTGTTTCTAATATTATCAAATCAATTGGGCTTTTATATCAATACCATTCTACACATTACTGGTAGCATTCTTTTTCGATATCGTTTCATTTCGTAATACTCAGCTTGATATTTTGTTGGTCCTACTTTGGCTTCTATCATCAACTATAATTTTTTTGTATCCCGAACTTTTTTGAGTTTTCAAGAAAGCAACAAAAGAAACACAGTCGTGAATGCACCTTCAAATGTAACTTAATGGACATATCACATCCATCGTAGCTGGTAGGTGTGAGATATTTTATAATCGCATTAATTGTGTTATTTCATATCTCACTCTCACTGAAACCACATAGATATAAAATATATCGCAAGAGAAATCTATGTTACAAGGATTTGGAGCCGAAACTTAAACTAGTCTGTAGCAAACTAGCAACCATACATTAATTTACCCGTGATGTTCTCTAATCTTTTTTCTCGGTTTAAGTTATGTGTATGAAACATATGCTTTTTCAAACATATTATTATTACCTGCGTAAAGAAAACTAAGAGAACAAACAAAAATGCTAAACCACACAATTTAGATAGATAGAAACAAATTCTATTATCGGCTCCATCCACACAAACTCCCAAAGAAAATAAATAAAACGGTTCATTTAATATTTATTTATAGACATTACCACCCCACGTTTTAATTAAAGCTAAGTTATAATTATGTTGTTTGCTAGTACTTGCTATTTCTCAACCGTTGGATCCACTTTATATATAAAATGATCACTATCTTATTTAGTTCGTCGTTTAGGAATCCGACAACTTCAATGTTTCCGAATATTTTCGAAAATATCTTTTATGATAAGCAAATTGTGATAACCTTGCCCACAAATCATATCATATTTTGACAAAGTTATTCTAATTGTGGCAGCTGTGATAACCTCGCCTACAATAATAATAATAATTCATTGATAGAGACATTTCCCTATCACTCACTTATTGTTCGAGTTCCTGAATCGGTCCCATCGCTATTCACTACCATTAGTAAAAAAAATCAAAATAGCTACGGTACATTCGTAGCAAATCGTAGCTATATGGAGAGTTTGCTACGAATTTCCGTAGCTATTCGTAGCAACCTCTCCATATAGCTACGAATTTGCTACGAATGTACCGTAGCTATTTTGATTTTTTTTACTAATATTATCATAAACATACAAAAAAAGGCGAGTGGGTAATAAGCTTTCAAATATAGCGTGAGATCTTTTGTTGATCACTTTTAAGACACGCAGATGGTAAGCCTTTGTTATATTCTATTTGGCATAACTTCAAACTGATCTTAAAGCCTACACATGGTTTAGCTTCGTATAGTGCGTGATATATATGATCAATTTAACCAAGCGGTCATAAACATAAATGATCTTCTTTTGTTTCGAAAAAGTTAGATTGCGTGAAAGGAACTCTCTCATGATTAAGGTCATATATTAGACGCAATAAACCGCACTCCACATGTTAACTAGTTTATTGTATTTGTATAAAGAAGATTATGACTGCATTCACTTATCAAGGAAGCTGTATCTAGAGATGACAATTATGGATCTGGACCGCGGGCATAGCCCATAAAGAACTGTCGCGGGACGGTACTGGGACGAGGTTTTCTAGTCCCGCAAATTTGCGGGCCTTGCGGGATGGGTCTTTGCGGGACTGGGTCTTTTGCGGGATGGCCGAAACGGGTCCCGCGGGATTACAAGGACCCGCATTTTTTTTTTCTTTATTTTTTTGTTTTGCCTTGCAAAAACGAGAGAATGAGTGAGAAGAAGACGATTCATGTGATTTCCCTTGAGAAAACATAAGGAGCTCGGGCGATGATGATGATTTGAGCTTCGGTGATAATGATTCGAGCTCCGGTGATGACGACTACAGCTTCAGCGATGACGATTCGAGTTTTAGTAATGTTTTGATTTGGTTTCTTTTTTCTTATTGACATTTTTGTTTTAGTGTTTCATTTTATTTAATTTTTGGATTCAGCAAACTAAAACATTGGTTATGAACTTATGAGTTATAAGATAATGAAAATATTTTATGCAATTATTTTTACTTTGTATGTTAATATGTTTTGGCTGTGATACAAATAATTACAATTATTGTTTTGAATAAAAAAATAAGCAAATCAATGATTGATGAATTATGTTTAGTTGAATCGACGACTTGAACTATGTCCTAAAATGGCCTAAAGCGTTTCGGAGGGGTTTGAATCATTTAGTTGCACATATTATCACATGTCCCGCGGGACAGCCCGCGAAGGCCTACAAGAAATGCGGTACGGGATTGGACTGCTGTTTTCAAGACCGCATCCCGCGCGGGACAAGCCCGCTGCGTCCCGCTAGAAGATGAACCCGCAGCAGTCCGGGACGGGAGAGCCCAATTGCCATCTCTAGCTGTATCTTGTGGAAAATGTCTAAAAGAGTTCCTTCCCAAATGCCATCAATAGTTTAACATAATATACTACGATAATACGTTGGATTATCCGTCTGAGCATTCGAAGAACAGATAAAGAAAAAGAAACTGAACATTCATATAAAAATGTCCCACTCCAAAGCTTGAGAAAACCTCTTGATGTAAAGTAATAAATTCAAGTGGCTACCTTACTTAGTCGATAGAGATATTTGGCACAACCGAGTAAATATTTTTTTATCGTGTTAAATTGTGGTAGTATTGTAGGCTATATAGTGCATATGAAACTTATAAGTTATAAACCCGCTAAATAACTAAAAACCATCGTTATCAGAAGAGACTTTATGCGCAAAATTATCAGTACTGTTGCATTCCGTACGTACATAAAAGAAGGAAATACAAGGCTTGGCGATATGAAACATTAGAGTTGTACACGACATGTTTTCATCCAAACCAAAAGTTGTAATACCTTTTTGGAATATTGGTGAAGCCAGCCAGAAAAAATATTGTTGTGTGAACTTGAGCTATTATCAACACCAATACTGTTAATAGTGTTGTGTAGCTTGATCCTAGTCATTTTGTTTGGTTGAAGATATAGATGATGACCCATGATGTCACCCATGTTGTTTGGTAAAAGAATTGGCGATAAACGACCTTTCAAAAATATATCTTAAAAAAATCGAATAGAGCCAAGTTAAACCAAAGCAAATTAAATTGAGTTGATTTGTTTTAATGCTAAAGGATTCAGCGCCATGTTTTCTGATTTTTCTTATACTAGAAGGAAATGGCCAAATGGGGAATAGGCGTAGTCGCGTAGAGGCGGATTAATTTTTCTGAGTTTTATTTACAAATTGTTTTATTTTTTTTCATAAAAATCTACACATTTTTTCTAACAGACGATACAAACTTGTTATAAATAGATACATATATCTGTATTTGGACGTACGTATGACTAAGACTTTCAAAAGCCATGTAAGACTTACAACAGACACATATAAAATTCAAAAAAATAATATCATAGTAATAAATAACTATCATTCTTTTTTCTTTTAAATGTGATATGAGGGTCAGAAATAATTTGCATGTAACACTCTAATACGACCATTTCACTGATGAAATATTAAGCACCGGATGAAACCTATTAGATATTTTATGGTGAGTGCACTGGTTAGGCAACTTGTCAGTATCAATCCCGAGATGTAACAGGGAAATTATGTCAGACTCTTTTTCCACTCTTTTGAAATAAATAGTTTGATATTCGTGTTACAATATCAAATAGTAATATTTTCTTACACTAGGTGGAAATGGCCAAATTAGTAATATGTTATCCGAATAAAAAGTAGATAAAACCAAGCTGGAAGCTTCTAGTCCCACTTATTGATTTCCAAACTCCAGTTCCAGATCTGAATATCCACTCGTTCGATACTTATTATGCATTGTGATGTCATGTGTCGTACACCTGTTTATGACTTTATAATTCTCTGCAGAATTTCGCATATTTTAACGGCACTTTATGAGCGGCTAAAACTTTGCCGCCATAGTTATGTAAAAATTCTACATAGGAAATATAATCTTATGACTGAACTAACACAATAACTAGTCATGGTCCAATGAATAACGCGGCAATTATAATTTTATAATAACTCACGACGTTGATTTAGCATTTCCAACATTTTGCAAAATCAAATCATCAAAATAGAAAATAAAACTGTGTCGGTTCACCAGTTTCCAGTTCAAGTACACACAGTACTGCATATTCCTATTTTTATTCTATGATTCCCTAATGGTACCAAAAGAACTTTTGATACGAGATACATAACTAACGTCCTTGCCTCTCTCACATGCCACCATTACCATGGACATATATATTTTTAAAGACCACCATTACCATATAATCAAAACAGACTCTCTTACATACCACCATTACCATAGACATAAACATTTTTAAAGGCCACCATTACCTATATAATCAAAACAAGACATAAAAACTTTATTACATACATCATTTATTTTGAATGGTCAAGATTAAACGAAAAGAACCGCAGCTTTACAGACGGTTTTTCATCAGTTAAGGCTTAATAAACACATTTCTTTAAAGAAACCCATGTGGTCATGTATATAGAACATTTAATTAAGTAAAAAAACTTACAGATGCATGAACTTCCATGCCTGAAAGAAACATAACAACCGGCCAAAAGGCCCAAAACCATCCATTAACTACTAATCATCCTACTTGACCATATTCTAATCACAATTAAGAAAAGATCCCATGATTTTAAACAAGTTGCATTAGGAGAAACATTTCTTATTAATTCTTTTCATGACATTTGTTTGACCAAAAAAAAGAGAATAAAAAAGGAATAACAAAAAAGGTTCACCGTAAATTTCACGGATTCCAACACCTTCACACCGTACGTGTCCCTTTCGTACTTTCCATGTTCGTCATTCTAGCTATAAACACATCGACATAAACAAATATTTAATTGTATAGTTAATAGTAGTAAAATAAACACTTTCTACAAAAAGATAAATACGAATTGCTAAAAAAGAAAAAGTATTAAATGCACGTAACCTTTCACCTTTAAAACCGTACGCAGATAGCTCAACAAACCCTCACACTTCAAAAAAAAAAAAAAATCTTATTTCCCTTTCTTCTCCTTCTTGTTCTCAATACTCCAATGGGTTTCGGTAGATCTTCTTCTTCTTCCTCTGCTCTAAAATGGCTTGGCTTCGTCACCGCTGTTTGGGTCCAATCAATCTCCGGCAACAACTACACCTTCTCCAACTACTCAGACGCTCTCAAATCCCTAATGAACCTCACTCAGCTTGAGCTCAACAGCCTCTCCGTCGCTAAAGACGTCGGAAAAGCCTTCGGAATCCTCGCCGGACTCGCTTCAGATCGTCTCTCCACTCCCGTCATCCTCCTCATCGGATGTTTCGAGGGTCTTATCGGCTACGGTGTACAATGGCTCGTCGTGAGCGGCACGATCCAACCTCTACCTTATTGGCAGGTTTAGATTCACAACTTTCCAAAAATAGAAACCCTAAAAAGTTTCTTGAATTTAAAAAACTCTGTTTCTTTGTGTGTAGATGTGTATCTTTCTATGTATGGGAGGGAACAGCACGACGTGGATGAACACGGCGGTTCTTGTTACTTGCATAAGAAACTTCCGGAGAAACCGTGGTCCTGTCTCCGGGATTCTGAAAGGTTACGTCGGTTTAAGCACTGCGATATTCACCGACGTGTGCACTGCTCTGTTCTCCGCCGACCCTGCTTCCTTTCTTGTCCTCCTCTCCGTCGTACCCTTCGCCGTGTGTCTCACGGCGGTCTTATTCCTCCGTGAGATCCCTCCGGCGGCTTCCGTCGCCGAGGAAAACGAAGAGTCAGGATACTTCGCCGTGTTCAACATCGTGGCCGTTGTTGTCGCCGTGTATCTTCAGTCTTATGATATCATCGGAGTCAAGACCGGAGCCATCTCCATCGCATTCGCCTCCGTGCTTCTCGTCTTGTTAGCTTCTCCTATAGCCATCCCTTTCCACGCTTACTTTCGGAGTTCGAAACACGGCGATGAGGAAGACGCGGAGGGACGAGCTGAACCGTTGCTGAGATCACAGATGGCGGAGGAGACGGTGGTCGGTGCTGCAGCGGCGACGGATAGCGAGTTGCCACCGTCTCCTCAGCTTTTGAAGACGGAGGAGGAGGAAGAAGAGAAGACGAGGCCGGTGCTTGGAGATGAACACACTATATTGGAAGCAGTGTTGACCGTTGACTTTTGGGTGTTGTTTGTGTCGTTCTTGTGTGGTGTGGGCACTGGTCTAGCTGTGATGAACAACATGGGTCAGATAGGGCTTGCGCTTGGTTACACGGATGTGTCTATCTTTGTCTCGATGATGAGCATTTGGGGGTTCTTTGGTCGGATTCTCTCCGGTACCATCTCTGAGCATTTTATCAAGTAAGTCCCTTCACTAAACTCTCTCTTCCTAGATTCGTTAGAATTTGGAAACTTATTTAATAATTGGTAGCATAGATCTTGTTAAAGTAGTAACGTGCAACCTTCTCATGATCATTTTATGCACATGCTAAACATATTCTAAAGCAAATTATTCAGAGTGAAGTCAGTTTCATCTTTGCTTTGCTTTTGCTCAAAGGAAGACAAGAGTTTTAATATATTTGCTTTTTTCTTATGTTACTTCGAATTGAATACTTTCCATTTACATGAGATTTCTTTTTTAACGATTTTTCAATAATAAGCATGAAGTCTATTCCATTTTGCGTAGCTGTATTTACTCAATGAGAAGTTTCCTTGTCTAAGAATAGACCGGTCCAATATCTAGTGGCCGCGGGGACCATTAGAAAAAAATATCTCCATTTTGTTTTCGCCACATTTTTTTTGCGTTGAAAGATCTTTTTAGATGTTACAAGTTACAAAATAATAATTTTATTAGATAGTGGGTCGTTTATTTAATTTTGTTAACTAATTAAGGTATTTTTTTTTTTTTTACATTGACTAATCTTCAATTTCTGATGTTTTCTCCGACCTAAATAGAAAATATGGAACCCCAAGACCATTATGGAATGCTGCATCACAAATCATCATGGCCGTAGGATATCTAGTGATGGCTTTAGCCATGCCCGGTTCACTATACATCGGTTCAATGGTGGTTGGTGTTTGCTACGGTGTCCGGTTAGCCATAACCGTACCAACAGCCTCAGAGCTATTCGGTCTCAAATACTACGGACTCATCTACAACATCCTCGTACTGAATTTACCACTTGGCTCGTTCCTCTTCTCGGGTCTTCTCGCTGGTTTACTCTACGATGCTGAAGCTACACCAACGCCTGGTGGAGGCAATACATGTGTTGGTGCCCACTGTTTCCGTCTCGTCTTCATTGTAATGGCGTTCACTTCCATTGTTGGGGTTGGTCTTGACATCTTGCTTGCGTTTAGAACGAAGGATATATATGCCAAGATTCATGTGAGCAAGAATGCTAAGAAACCTAGTGGTAATCTTCGATGAGTCTCAAGATGATTACTGGAATTGTTTTTGGTGAAATCATTTTTGGGTATGTTACTTATACTTCTATAGTATTTTTTTTTTATGTTCATAATTTACTAGACGGGATGGATGGATTGTACACTATGTACATTCATGATTACTGTTGTTAAAGCCGGTTTAAGTGTATTAAACCAGTTGTATGGTCTACGTTCATATACTGGGTTATCCATAAATTACATTTTCCCTCTATTTGCTTTCTACGTGATGTTGAATATCGTTATCAGTGTGTTATAGTTTGTAAATACTTTATCACAAAATTTTCAGTCAAGGAAGCCCAAAACGATATCATTTTCAGGTAGTATACCATACCAAAACTATGTAATAACCTGGTATGTAAATGGTCACTGTATTTAAATTTCATAAGAAATCAAAAAGTTGACAAATTAGCAATGTTTTCACCATTGTTAATACTTGTTTACATGCACTTTCTCTGTTAGCAATAATCACACATCTTGTTACAAATGATCCAAGCTATAATGAACTTCTAAACTGTATTGGATCAAATTATTCTATATGGGACTAATTTCATTTATCTCTACAGAAAAAGATATTACAAACACAAAACTAACTAATGACGTTAAAGAGAACAAAGCTTCAAACAAGAATGCAAAACGAGCTTAACTCGAATATTATTTGGTATATGATCTAAATTAGTACATAGTAGCTTTGACTTACAACATAGTCTACACACTTGTAACAATGTCTATGAGCATTCACCAATGTATATACACAGAGAGCTTCATCAAATGCTGGAGACGACAAATAGATCACATCAAAGACAAAACTCGACTGGGAGAAAGAGAAGAGAATGTTCATACTAGAGAATGCAGCTTTATCATAAATCAATGGAATCCTCTCGACCCTCTAGATTGATAAAGCTCCAATCTACTCTTAGCTTCTGGTAATATCTCATCAATCATTGGTGCTTCCACCAAATGAGATTGTTTTGTAGACCACTCAAGCACTACAAGAACCTCTTCTTGCGCTAGAGTCTCACTATCCGGTACACTCAATGCAATGTAACATAATAGTACCAAAGCCGGTACTTGAACCATTTGTTCTCCAAAGTAAACCAACTGAATCAAATGCTTTGCACCTCCTGCTGCTATGATCGCTTTAGAGTGATTATCACGCAAGAAATTCTCAGTACACGAGAACTTGATAAGCGCCACTGCAGCTTCCATCGAAACCTCAGCTTCTCTTTCATCAAGAAGCTTCACAAGCGGTGCGATGATTCTTGTCTCCGTTGCACGGAACGTTCTTGAAAGACTACCTATTGATTTGATACAAGGGATCAGAAGATCCGGAATCTCGTTTTCGATCACTTTTAGTAACTGTTCAACCACAGCTTTTGCGGCAGGAGAGGTTGGTTTGAAAGCAGAGCGTCTAAGCTCTGAGTATTGTTCAGCAACGTCAGTGATCTCCATCATTGCTAACGCGGAATATGACTTGACTTCGTCGTCTCCTTTTTCTAACAGAACAGCGAAACATAGCAATGCTCTTGACTCTGTTATGCTTCTGCATATTTGGAGATTCCCTCTTGAGAGTTGCCATAACGCTCTTGCAGCCATTGCTTTCATCTGAGCTTTGGTTGCTGGATCCTCGTACTCTCTTCCTTTAATGCTTGTCCCCATCAAAGAAACATGTGTTGGATTGTTCCCTCTAGGGGTTGGCCCACCTTTTGTATGATGCTGACTGCTCTGTTTTGTTTGATTCTTGTTAGTACCCGAACCTGAACCCGAACCTGGACCGGAACCTTTCATTGCTAATGTGTTCGTGATAATGTTATGCATCTGGCTCGGTGTTTGGTTACTCATAGGATGATTGATATTACTTTGAGCCTCGTCTTGCTCGTGGCTCACTTTCTTATTATCTGATGGATTTGTGTTACTAGCCATCACGACCGTGTGGATAGAAGACAACGTTTGCTTGTTACTCACGATAGCGTATTTGCTATGCTCTTGAACCGTCTCGAAAGCGAGATGGCTCACTAAGAAACGAATGATGTTGTTCTGAGCGAAATGGTCTTGACATTTGGGATGATTCGATGCTAACTCCGAAACAGCCCATGCAACAACGGTCTGAACTTTCATATGACCTTCTTTGAGAATCTTCGCAAAGACTTGACAAACACCCGCGTTAACAATCTGTTCAACACTCTCTGGATCACGACCTAATAAACCAATGGCACGCGCCGCGTTTTCTTGCCCCTCAAGTTTCCCTTCTTTCGCAAGTTTTAGCAACGGAGGCACGCCACCTTCTTCTATAATCAACCTCCCGTAACGGTCATTGTCACGTGCCAACGACACGAGGGAGGCCGCGGAATCTGATCGCTCGTCGAGGGACCCCGTGAAGAGATTCGCAACTTGTTCCCAAATCAAACAGAGGATGGGCTCGTTAGCAGCTATAGGAGGTAGACCTAGATACTCGTCGTCACGGTCATCACCCGAAGCTGAGACACGGAGGAGCCAAGAGACGTCTCCGAGCGAATTCTCCAACTGCATCGTGATCTTACGAAACGCAGCCGCGGGGATGATGGTGAAGAGACGTTTCATCAGCCCCGTGGCGCGGCATTTCTCGACTAGGGCTATGGCTTTGAAGAGGACTTGCTCCGTGTCGTCGATGATGCGACGCGTGGGACGTTCGTAGAGGTCGTTGCTCGCACGTGCCGCTTGACGGAGGAGACCTGCGAGTTTTTCTGTTTTGGCTTTGACCTCTAGACATTCTTGTCGGAATGAGTATGCTTCGTCGGCTGCTTTGGTTATCTGGTCGGCTAGTTGGATTGGTCTCACTAAGATTTGTTTCACGATATCCGCCATTAGAACCAATCAAAAGGGAAGAATGTGACGTTTTTGTTGTTGATTAATGGCGTTGGTTGTTCGCCGGAGACGACGGCGGGGAGAGAGAGAGAGGGGAAGAGAGAATGAGGTATAGGTGAAACGTTAATTTCTCCGGAAATTTACAATGGGAGATGGAAAGGTCCTAAAATTAGGCGGTTTGTTTATATATATGCAGAAACTGAATCGGACTGTTCAATAGCGACATGGTTATTTGAAGTATTTGGGATTGTTGCTAGAGTTGTAATATAACAGTGCTATGATATAATATGTCTAGCAAATTAAACTTTGTTACTTATTGTTCAAGTTAGATTCTGTATTTCTAGAAATTAAACTTTGTCTCCAAGCTAATGTAATTTTGAAGTTGTGTTTTAAGAAACAAATTTATTTTTATGTTAAGTGACATTTTCAACTCTCTATGTAAATGTTAAGAACATTTTTACTTTGACATTTAAAGAAACCTAATCAACATATAATTATTAACTTTTGTGTTTTACCAATTTTATTCGATTATATTAATTGATGAGCTGAAATAATATAGATAAAATTGAAAAACTAACAAGTTAATGCATCAAAAATATAAAATGATACTTAAAAAAAAATAAAATTTTGAATTTTACAATGGTAATCTGAAAGGGAGAGAGTAGTACACAAGATTATGTAACTTAGGATACACGCTGCCCAAAAGAAAAAAAAATTTTTGCTTCCGACACAAGTGACCTAGAATGTTTCCAACCAAAATTATTTTGGCTCTTGCAAATTAGCATAATGAGAGGTTATAACATATTGTTGAGAGCACCGCCATACGCTTTCAAAAGTTCATATCCCAAAAGTAACTTAAAAAAGCTAATAATATGCTCGAAAAAATCTGTGATGTTACAATAATAGAGAGCTGAAGATGGATTCGTGTACAACGAGTCAAAATTTGATTACACGAGTAAAAAAACGAGAAAATCTTAAACAGTCTTCTGTTTCTTGTTGGCCGAGCCATCGCTAGATCCTTTACCATCTTTCTTCTGGCCAACACCGCCACCGTGTCCTCTCTTAGATCCCTGATTGATTCAAGAAAAAGCAAACAGGCAAACATGAATAAACAAAAGAAAAGAAAGGAAAGGAAAGACAATTTTATAAGCTGTGTGTTTTACATTGGCGTTGAAGGTTTTGAGTGGATCACCGCCTTTTCTGGATCGTTTCTTCTTTTGACCACCAGCTCCACCGGTTCTCCTACTGCCTCCCATGGCGGCTCTGGCTAGTTTTACCATTTTGCTTGCTTCTTGAGTCTTTGCGTCCACTAGATACTCAGGGATGTCCCTTAGATGTGGTGAAGGTGCAGTCTTGCTCAAAAGCTTGTCATGTTTCAGTAGATCCAAGTCTCTTGGATTAGCTTCAAAATGAGACTTTAACCTGAAAAAAAGAAAAAAAAGAAGAGAGTAAACATTAACAAGACAAAACAAACAAACAACACTAGTTTTAAGAACAGTCATTCTAGCTTACTTTTCAGAGTTGATTATCTCATTTCTTAAATCTTGAGCACGAGATTCCCGAATAGCAATCTTCGTAACACTCTTTGCAACATCCTGCACCAAATAAAAAAAAACTTAAATACTTATTCATCTGATAAAGAAAGCAGCTTACAGCAGAGATTGCTACTCACCTCAGCTCTGTATCTTAAAGACTCGACAGCATTTTCAGTCAACGAAGGGAAGGGTGTGATGATATCACTATCCTTGTCCTCTTCACCTGCTAAGAAGGATTTGATTTCTTCAAAGACTCCCATCTCATCTGGAGAAACCTGTGGCAATTAAAGCAGAAGCATTAAGACTTACAAATTTAGAGAGAGCATACCAAACATAAAGGTATTGTTAAGACAAGAAAACTCACAAGAGAAACGGAAGAACCACTGCTATATGCTCTCCCAGTACGCCCAATTCGATGAATATATCCTGACACACTTTGAGGCATGTCGTAGTTAATGACCTGTGCATAAAAGGGGTTTAGAAAGGTTAAGAAACTTAAGCAATTAGAACAGCAAGATTACAAAAAGAAAAAAAAAAACTTACCGTGTGAACTTTTTTGAAGTCAATTCCTCTAACTACACCAAACTCAGCGTCCAGCTTCGGTTTGAAACGCCTTTTGTTCTTTTTACCCTCCTTGTTATCATCACCTTTAACCTCTTCCTTTTCTTTAGTCTGGTTATTATCATCCGTTGCAATCAAATAATCAAAAAGACCTGCATTGAATTGCTGTAAAAACATATGGTGATTAATCATGAAATGCAGATAATTCAAAAAAAAAAAATTATTTCTGGTCTTCGACTTTGGTGATGTACCTCAAGGATATGAAGACGAGAATTCTGAGGCAACTCCCCGTTTAAAATTGCAGTTTTGATTCCAAACTGGCAGACAAATCAAAAATAAAATTAATCCACTAGTATTACTACAAAATTGGATTGCTCATGTCAATAGGTAACACAAAACTTACCTTTTCCAAGAACAGTTTCAACTTGAAACCCATGTCAATAGTATTGATGAATATCAGAATCTTCTTCTGAACAACCTCTAGCTTCAGGAGAGCAAGAATGTTAAGCAGTTTATCCTGAGCACTGCAAGAAATCTAAAAGACAAGATAACACAAATGTGAACTTATAAACCAAACGTAACCAACAAAATTGACTTAAAGCAAAATCTAAGAGACTGAATCATACCCAAAACTGCTGAACATTACTTGGTACTGGCTCTTCCTTGTCAGCACCTTCTTGCAAGGTCAAAACTACCGGGTTGTGAAGAATCAATTTCTTCAATTTTTCAACATCAGTACTGAATTTTTGCAAACACGATTCCACCATTAAAGACAACCACTCAGAGAAAAATGTGAGCTTAAAAAGAATCATTACCACCCGGAGATGTGTTACCTTGTGGTAGCAGACATAAGAAGGCATTGGCAACGTCTTGGGACTATCGAAGTTACTGACCTTAGATTGTCTTCATATCCATACGACAACAAAAGATCTGCCTGATAGCAGAAATAACATGTAGTCAATATAAAGAAAACACAACATCATAACCTCTAAAAACTACTTCAATGCTTATACTCATAACGATCCAAGAATGTATAATAAAAGACCTTCCCCTTATAGAGCTAACTGATTACTTAGAGAATTCACAACGCTAATGTGACTTCTCATCACCACTATAAACCTTTGAACATCAAATATACCAAGAAGAACATTTATTATACCTCATCAAGAACCAAAATCTCAAGCGAGTCACTAATAGCTGCGGGGTCTAAAACCCCATCTGCAAAACATTTTGGTATACAAGCAGGTGTGGTGACAAGAATCTCAGGCAACCCAGCCAATGCGTTACGCTGCAATTATAAACACCAAAGAAAAACATTAGAAAATTTATAAAAATAGATAAACGCCGAACGGTATATAACACTAACCATATCAGAAACAGGCATGCTACTAGTCAACTGCACAGCTTTAAGTTGAACACGACACAACTCAATAAGCCAAGAAACCTCAGTGTAGACCTGCTGACACAGCTCACGAGAAGGAACGAGAACAAAAGCACAAGGAGCAGGTTTCTTCTTCCTCCCAGAATCTGAAAACAGCTTCTGAAGCAAGGGAAGAAGGTAAGCCAAGGTCTTCCCTGAGCCAGTCTTAGCCCTAGCGACCACGTCTTTCCCTTCCTATAACAAGAACAAAAAAACAATCAATTAGACAGAGAGTCTAAAGAATGGTATAAAGGTGGAGACTTTGATGATTTACCAGGATGTAAGGAATGGCTGTTTGCTGAATAGGAGTGGGTTTCTCAATACCCTTTTTAGATAAAGCACGAATGAGACGAGGGTCAAGCCCTAGCTCTTCAAAGCTCTTATCTTTCTCTTCTTCTTCTTCTGCTACTTCTCCGCCGTTGCTCTGTTCTTCAACTTCCTCTGCTTTCTCAACCTCTTCCACTTCCGGTTTCACGTCATCCACAGGGCTCCCCTTCGCCTTACCCATTGAATCAGAAGCTTACACCGGGTCCGAGAAAGGTTCAGTTCGAGTTTGAAGAGAAGAGGAGAAGGCAGCTTTCAAAAGCGGCGCATAGGTTGAAGAAGAGTCTTTTATTGTCTGATGATTTGGGCTTTTATTAAATGGGCTTTTGTTTATTGGGCTTTTATTTAATGGTCTTTTGTTAATTGGGCTTTTCAGACACTAATTACTTTTTCAGAGAAAGAAAACAAAAAACAAATAGAGAAAAAGACAGTTTGTTTGTATATATTAATATTGAAGATGGAGGAAGGATGATGCTTCGGTGTTCTTCGTAAAGAAATGATTTTTATATATAAGAGAGAAGGAACGTGATCAACTTGAGCTTTGACTTAGCGTCAACCAGTTTCGCCTTTCTTTCGTCTTTACTTTCGATCCAATAATACGAAATCACAGATGGGTTCGCTGAAGAACGACGGAGAGATCGGAGGAGAGCTTATGGAGGCGATACTCTACGTTAACGGCGTTCGTAGAGTGTTGCCTGATGGTTTGGCTCATATGACGCTTCTTGAATACCTCAGAGGTGTGTATCTTACTAGTTAACGTCTGTTCTGTCCGATTAAGTTGTGGTGGTAGGTAGGGAATGATTGAAAGTATTGAACTTTGAGCTCAAAAAGGTTCACTGTTAGATCCATTTTGAAGAATCTGGATCAATTGAATATTCCTACATATGCAGTTACTTGTTTGTGGTGCCACGTAGCTGACTTTTGATCCACTATGTCTGTCTTAATATGAAGATGATTGAGTTATGTATAGATTCGTTTTGAAATATCATAGTGGTTTTGTTGTTAATAATCGAATCATGAGGTCGTTTTATAATTTTGAAAACGTGTTTCTTGTTTTGTTTTAGATATAGGATTGACCGGGACAAAGCTGGGATGCGGTGAAGGTGGTTGTGGGGCTTGTACAGTGATGGTCTCTAACTATGACATGAAATCCAAGACTTGCGTGTGAGTATTATCTTTACCTCTGATATGTTTTGCTCTCTACTTTGCTTAAGCTTTTGGCCTTTAACTGAAAAATGTTTATTGCAGGCATTATGCTGTCAACGCTTGCTTAGCACCTCTGTATTCTGTAGAAGGGATGCATGTGATATCTATTGAGGGAGTTGGGCATCGCAAACTTGGTTTGCACCCGCTTCAGGTGAGTTTTCACTTACTTCTTCTTATTTCTGGTGAGTTTATGTCACTGCTTAAACATATTGTGGTGATGTTGATTCTCTCAGGAATCATTGGCGTCTTCTCATGGTTCCCAGTGTGGGTTTTGTACTCCTGGGTTTATTATGTCCATGTATGCGTTATTGAGGTCAAGTAAGAACTCACCTTGTGAAGAGGAGATTGAAGAATGTCTTGCGGGGAATTTATGTCGTTGTACTGGTTATAGACCCATCGTTGATGCGTTTCGAGTTTTTGCAAAATCTGATGATGCTCTTTACAGTGGAGTATCTTCACTTAGCCTTCAAGATGGTTCAACTATTTGCCCATCTACTGGCAAACCTTGTTCCTGTGGGTCAAAAGCAACAAATGGAGAAGCCAATTGTAATGAAAATAGAATCCAATCCATCTCTTACAGTGATGTGGATGGTGCTAAGTATACAGAAAAGGAGCTTATCTTTCCCCCTGAGCTTTTGCTGAGGAAGTTATCTCCTTTAAAGTTGAGAGGAAATGGGGGACTCACCTGGTTTAGACCCGTAAGCCTTCAGAACTTGCTTCTGCTCAAAGCAAATTATCCTGATGCTAAGTTACTAGTAGGGAATACAGAGGTGGGAATCGAAATGAGACTGAAGAGGTTGCAGTATCCAGTGCTAATCTCTGTTGCTCAAGTCCCAGAGCTCAACGCATTGAATGTAGATGACAGTGGAGTAGAGCTTGGTTCTGCTTTGAGACTTTCTGAGCTCCTGAGTTTGTTCAGGAGGGTTGTAAAGGAGCGTCCTGCACATGAAACATCAGCATGCAAGGCTTTTATTGAACAGCTAAAGTGGTTTGCTGGGACACAGATAAGAAATGTTGCGTGCATTGGTGGAAACATTTGTACAGCTAGTCCAATATCTGATTTAAACCCTCTTTGGATGGCGTCAAGAGCAGAGTTTCGGATAATCAACTGCAGTGGAGAAGTTAGGTCCATCCCTGCAAAAGATTTCTTCCTTGGTTATCGTAAGGTGGATATGGGAAGCAACGAGATCTTGATGTCTGTCTTCCTTCCATGGACAAGGCCCTTAGAGTATGTGAAAGAGTTTAAACAAGCTCATCGTAGGGATGATGATATAGCTATTGTTAATGGTGGGATGCGTGTGTTTCTTGAAGAGAAAGGTCAAGATTTGTTTGTTTCTGATGCATCAATTGCTTATGGTGGTGTGGCTCCTCTTTCGTTGCGTGCTAGAAAGACTGAGGAATTTTTAATTGGAAAGAAATGGAACAAAGGTCTTCTGCAAGATGCTCTTAATGTCATACAGAGCGATGTATTGATTAAGGAAGATGCTCCTGGTGGGATGGTTGAGTTTAGGAAATCTCTAACACTGAGCTTCTTCTTTAAATTTTTCTTATGGGTTTCTCATGATGTACATAATGTATACCCCACTATAGAGACCTTCCCACCCTCCCATGTATCAGCTGTTCAACCTGTTCCTCGGTTATCTAAAATTGGAAAACAAGACTATGAGACAGTAAAACAGGGAACATCTGTTGGCTCGCCGGAGGTTCATCTTTCAGCGAGAATGCAGGTATGTTTCTCCATCCACCCTACTTTTACTTTTTCTCCATTTTAATTATGTTAGGTCAATCACCATTGTCCATGTACATTGTTTTACTTTCTAGAACAAAGACTTTCTGTGATTTGTGACGTCCTGAAAATTTCAGTTACATGATTGTGGAATTACACAAGGGATTTAACTTTTGGTTCCTTTTCATATGGTTTATGGTCTCTCTTTATCAACTCTAAACTTTTCCAGTATCATCTCCATAAACTATGTTATGTACCATCTTTAAAATATGGTAAAGCGATAAGCTTGAAGACTTGATGGCTGGATATTGTTTGCTATTAAGATAGTTGAGAACCTTTAGCTAATGTTTTAGAGTAGTGTCTTGGTGAGTAGAAAATAATTCTGTAAGTTTGTTTCCAACAATCTTTATATTTTTATGTAGGTCACAGGAGAAGCAGAATATACTGATGATACCCCAGTACCTCCTAATACCTTGCATGCTGCCTTAGTCCTAAGCAAAAAGCCACATGCTCGCATCCTTTCTATTGATGACTCGGCTGCCAAATCTTCCCTTGGTTTTGTTGGTCTGTTTCTTGCTAAAGATATTCCTGGGGATAATATGATTGGACCAATTGTTGCTGATGAAGAATTGTTTGCTACGGACGTGGTCACATGTGTTGGACAAGTAAGAAAACTTGAACCGCTGTTTTGTCTTTCTTTCTGATATTTTCTATGGAGGCTCAATGGTAACCAATTGTTGTTGAGGGAATGTTTCTGGCAAAACGGTTAATGTGCATGGTTTTTTTCCAGAAAGTAAACGAGAATATTCATAATAATCTAGTTTCTATCCCTCACAATTATCTGATTAAATTGTATTTGGTCCTTCAGGTCATTGGTGTGGTTGTCGCGGATACACATGAAAATGCAAAAACTGCTGCAGGAAAAGTTGAAGTTATGTATGAGGAACTACCAGCAATATTATCAATCAAGGAGGCTATTAATGCTAAAAGTTTCCATCCGAACACAGAGAAAAGGCTAAGGAAAGGGGATGTAGAGCTATGCTTTCAATCTGGTGAGTGTGACAAGATAATAGAGGGAGAAGTTCAAATTGGTGGTCAAGAACACTTTTACTTGGAGCCTCATGGTAGTTTGGTTTGGACAATGGATGGAGGAAACGAAGTTCATATGATTTCTTCCACTCAAGTAAGTATTTAGCAATTTCATAAGTCAGAAAATCATTAGGCATCAGCTTGTTTAAGATATTGTCTTAAGCAAATATTGGTGGTTGTGATTTATATGCAGGCTCCTCAAAAGCATCAGAAGTATGTGTCTCATGTTCTCGGTCTTCCAATGTCTAAAGTGGTATGCAAAACCAAAAGAATTGGAGGTGGCTTTGGTGGTAAGGAAACAAGATCAGCTTTTATTGCTGCTGCAGCTGCTGTTCCTTCCTACCTATTGAATCGTCCTGTGAAACTCATACTGGATAGAGATGTGGACATGATGATAACTGGTCATCGCCATAGTTTCCTTGGAAAGTACAAGGTATCTTTCTCTGCTATTTCAAGTTTGTTAGATTGTTAGACAAACTAGAAACGTTCTTTTAATTGTTTTCTGCTACTTTTTGCAGGTTGGATTTACGAATGAAGGAAAAATATTGGGGTTGGATCTTGAAATCTACAACAATGGTGGAAACTCTTTGGATCTTTCCCTTGCTATTCTCGAACGGGCCATGTTTCACTCGGATAACGTTTATGAGATTCCACATGTAAGGATCGTAGGGAACGTTTGCTTTACTAATTTCCCCAGCAACACTGCTTTCCGAGGATTTGGAGGGCCCCAAGGTATGCTCATTACTGAAAACTGGATTCAGAGAATCGCAGCAGAGCTTGATAAAAGCCCTGAAGAAATCAAAGTGAGTTGAATACTTTCCTGACCTTCTTCATTGTCTGAAAGTTTGTAGTAACTCTTCTTGTTCGTTTCCTGTATTAATGTTTTCTGGTCTATTTGCTTTACTTTAGGAGATGAACTTTCAAGAGGAAGGATCGGTCACACATTATTCTCAATCTCTTCAGCACTGCACATTGCAACAGCTTTGGACAGAGCTGAAAGTATCCTCCAACTTCTTAAAGGCTCGCAGAGAGGCCGACGAGTTCAATAGCCAAAACCGGTGGAAAAAGCGTGGTGTGGCTATAGTTCCCACAAAATTTGGCATATCATTTACTACAAAGTTCATGAATCAGGTAATAATGCTTAATTCAACCTTAGTAATCAAACTGTAAAAGAATAAGATAAAGTCTCAACATTGCTTGGAAAGGTAGTTTAACACGTTGTGTGGCTGTTACAGGCCGGTGCTCTTGTTCATGTTTACACCGACGGGACTGTTTTGGTGACACATGGAGGTGTGGAGATGGGTCAAGGGTTGCACACAAAGGTTGCCCAAATTGCTGCCTCCGCCTTTAACATCCCGCTTAGTTCAGTTTTCGTGTCAGAGACGAGCACCGACAAGGTAAATCTATATGACTAAGAATTTAAGATGTAACTCTGTTACAAGCACCTTAGGCCAATACATAAGATCAGACAATGTTGTTCTTACTCTTTTATGTTTCTACGGTATCTTTATAGGTTCCAAATGCGTCACCAACTGCTGCTTCTGCAAGCTCTGATATGTATGGTGCTGCAGTTTTAGACGCCTGTGAGCAGATTATAGCAAGAATGGAACCTGTTGCATCTAAGCACAACTTCAACACATTCGCTGAGGTATTCTTTGTCTCCTGAATTGTGATATAAACTCGGACCACGTTGGTGCCTGTTATGATGAGAACTCTCTTTATCTGTAACTATATGTAGCTGGTAAGTGCCTGCTACTTTCAACGGATAGACCTCTCAGCGCATGGATTTCACATCGTTCCCGATATTGGATTTGACTGGATATCTGGGAAAGGGAATGCATTTAGATACTACACATATGGAGCTGCCTTTGCTGAAGTTGAGATAGATACATTAACTGGCGATTTTCACACAAGAGCAGCGGATATAATGCTGGACCTTGGATATTCTCTTAACCCTGCCATTGATGTTGGACAAGTGCGTCTTCTTCTCTCACCCTCAAACAAATTTTTGCAATCATTTAAAAAGAAAATTAGGGTTTATTTGAAATCACTGCTTGCAGATAGAAGGAGCATTTGTACAAGGACTAGGTTGGGTTGCTCTAGAAGAACTTAAATGGGGAGATGCAGCTCATAAATGGATTAAACCAGGAACTTTACTAACTTGTGGACCTGGTAACTACAAAATACCTTCCATTAACGACGTTCCGTTCAACCTCAATGTTTCTCTTCTAAAGGTATGTAACTGCATTAACAAGCTTGTAAACTGGTAGCAGCAAACACATGTGATTCTGAAGCTGAGGTTGTACTTTTTTGAAACAGGGGAATCCGAACAAAAAGGCAATACATTCATCTAAAGCAGTAGGTGAGCCACCGTTCTTTCTTGCATCATCAGTCTTCTTTGCAATCAAGGAAGCCATCAAAGCTGCTAGGACCGAGGTGGGTCTCAGCAACTGGTTCCCGCTAGAGACTCCAGCCACGCCAGAACGTATCAGAATGGCTTGTTATGATGAGTTTTCATCTCCTTTTGTAAGTTCAGATTTCACCCCTAAGCTTAGTGTTTAAGCTTTATATGTAATAGTGATAAAGTTATGTAAGTTGTTTCCTCTCACCAAATAAATGTACATTTACAAATATATGTTTATAGAAAACAGCAACTTTGCTTTTGTTGCCTACTAGTGGCTTCGAACTTGGGTGGCTTCCTGATCAAAGTTGCTTGTTCGAAGCCATAAGCAATCTCAATGAGCTTTGGCTCTGAGAATCTCAACCCTCCAAAGGTTATTCCGAATGGAACTCCATCACTATCATATCCTGCAGGGACATTGATTCCTGGATACCCTCCTATGGCGAGGATATGGCTCATGGTCGAACGAAGTGTCACGATTGCATCTAACTCCAGCTCTGTCATCAGCTTCTCGATTCCATTCCTGGAAAGTTCTTCCATTTTCTGCAACGCTGCTTTCTCTTTCTCACCTATTCCGTTGGTTGCTTCTGCTTCAAGAAAGAGATCTTGTCCCCATTCTTCCACCTTTTCCTGTGTGTGTTTTCTCAATTCAGTTCTCACATTTTCTTCAGAAACAGAAAAAAGTGAGTTTGTTTTTACCTCTTCAGCGTATTTCTCGTTGTAAGCAATAACATCTGCTAAGGACCGGACTGGTGATTCCACAAGATCTTTAAGATATGCGTTCAGAGCCATCTTGAACTCAGCCAAGGGTGCTGTCTTTTCACCGCTCTTAGTCCAATTCATAATGACTTTGATGTTCGGTATAGACAGATCTTTAAAGACGGTTGCTCCTTCTCGCCTTCATCAAAGAAAGATAATGATTTATTTGATTGAAATGATCCAATAGAGTAACTTAAAGAAAAGCTTTACCTAAGTATTTCAATGTGAGGATCAAGAAGAGAATGCTTCATAACGATCCCTAGTCTCTTCCCCTTAAGGCCATCAGGTGTGAGAAACTGCTTGTAACCACCTTCAGGTATGAACTGGATGCAGTCTTAGTGGCTTCATCCAATGGATCATAACCCACAATAGCATCAAGGAGAACTACAGCATCCGAAACTGTCCTACATAACGGCCTAACATTGCAAATACACAGTAAAAAATGAAACTTGGCATTGTGGTACAAAAATCAACAGTAGTAAGACTAGTAAGTCTCACCCTACAGTGTCCTGTCTCAAGGAGAGAGGAACCACCCCAGCTCGGCTCGTGAGCCCGACGGTCGGTTTAATCCCAACCACCGAGTTCTGACTGGCCGGACAGAGGATTGAACCATCAGTTTCAGTCCCAAGTGAGACAGCCACAAGATTAGCAGCCACTGATATAGCTGAACCACTACTTGATCCACACGGATCTGCTGTTAAAACATACGGATTCTGCAAAACATTCAATAGATAACTTTATCATACCTAAAACTTGAGTCCCAAGTTACAGAAATCTCCAAACACTTTCTATTTATAGTGATGAAAAAACTGACCTTTCCTTGGAGCCCACGTGCACACCAACCACTAGGTATGTTGTTAGACCGAAAATGAGCCCATTCGCTTAAGCTCGCTTTGCCTAAGATCACAGCACCAGACTCTCTAAGTCTCTTGACAACACCTGCGTCTCGAGGCACGACAGAACCAAGCAGAGCCAAGGAACCAGCCGTGGTGTTAAGCCCATCCTTAGTGGATATGGAATCCTTGAGCAGAATAGGAACACCGTGCAAGAAAGGAAGCTCAGTGGTCACATCTTTCACATCACGTTCTCTGTCTGCGATCTCAGCTTGGATCAAAGCATCTGGATTCGTCTCAATGACTGCGCAGAGTATAGGATTGAGTTTGGAGATTTCTTCGAGATACAACTCGACTAGCTCCTTTGATGTCACACGTTTCTCCTTGAAAGCGAGTCTGATATCTTCAACTGTGGCTTCTTGGATCGAGAATATTTTTGAGGGGAGCATGATGCAGAAATGGTCAACGCCAAGCAGCACATTGACTCTTTTCTCACGCTACTTGAAATAAAGAAGTATTCTTTGCCTCTTTCTCACGATGCTTAAAGAAAGTGTTTTTTTTTTGTTTGAATATTTTGGTTGTGTGTATATTGCGCACGTTACTCTAAGGAATCAAATGGTTAAATGCAATTATCATATTCTACATAAAGTTGGATTGTTAAACAAACTTGAGTGTTTCTTAGATCGCCCATCGGCGATCTAAGCCGGGTTTGGCTTAGATCGCCTGTGGGCGGACTAGTTGCGACTAGTTCGCGTTTTACGGCTTTTTCGGTTTTTTGCGGATCTTGATATCTACAACAATAGTGGATATTTCCCTTGCTATTCTGGCACGTGTCATGCAATGATCATAGGGAACGTTTGCTTTACTAATTTTCCCAGGAAATTTGTTTTTGTTGCTTACTACTAATGCCTTGAGCTTCGAACTCGGGTGGCTTCCTGATCAAAGTTGCTTGTTCAAAGCCATAAGCAATCTCAATGAGCTTTGGCTCTGAGAATCTCAACCCTCCAAAGGTTATTCCAAATGGAACTCCTTCACTATCATATCCTGCAGGGACATTGATTCCTGGATACCCCCCAATGGCTAAGACACTGCTCATTGTTGAACGAAGTGTCACGATTGCATCTAACTCCATTTCTTTCATCAGCTTCTCTATCCCATTCCTCGAAAGTTCTTCTAGTTTCTGCAACGCTGCTTCCTCTTTCTCGCCTATTCCGTTGGTTGCTTCTGCTTCAAGAAAGACCTCTTGTCCCCATTCTTCCATCTTTTCCTGTGTTTTTTTTCTCAATTCAGTGATCACATTTTTTTCAAAAAAGAAAAAATGTTGAGTACTTGCCTCTTCAGCGAATTTCTCGTTGTAGGCAATAACATCGGCTAAGGACCGGACCGGTGACTCGACAAGATCTTTAAGATAAGCATTCAGAGACATCTTGAACTCAGCCAAGAGTGCTGTCTTTGCACCACTCTCAGTCCAATCCATAATGACTTCAATGTTCGGTATCGATAGATCTTCAATAACGGTCGCACCTTCTTGTCTTCATTAAAGAAAGCTATTGATTTCTAGGTTTCTTTGACTGAATGATCAATGGAGACTTTAAGGGGAAGAAAAAGCTTTACCTTAATAATTCAATGTGATCATCAAGAAGAGAATCCTTCATAACGATCCCTAGTCTCTTCCCCTTAAGGCCATTAGCTGTCAGAAACTGCTTGTAACCACCTTCGGGTATGAACTCGGAAGCAGTCTTCGTGGCTTCATCCAAGGGATCATAACCCACAATAGCATCAAGGAGAATTACAGCATCTGAAACTGTCCTACATATTGGCCTGACGAATGCATACACACAATATAAGAAATAAACTTAGTACAAAAATCACTAGTAAAATTGAGTGCTCTTAAGTCTTTACCCTACACTGTCCTGTCTCAAGGAGACAGGAATAACACCGGCTCGGCTGGTGAGTCCGACGGTCGGTTTAATCCCAACAACCGAGTTCTGACTCGCCGGACAGAGGATGGAACCATCAGTTTCAGTCCCAAGTGACACAGTCACAAGATTAGCAGCCACTGAAATAGCTGAACCACTACTTGACCCACACGGATCTGCTGTTAAAACGTACGGATTCTGCAAAAACGTTCAAAACTCTTCATCATACCTAACCTTGAGTCCCAAATTACAAAAAGCTTCAAAAACTTTCTATATATATATAGTGTGAAGAAACTGAACCTTTCCTTGGAGGCCACGTGCGCTCCAACCATTTGGGATAGCGAAAGATCGAAAATGAGCCCATTCGCTTAAGCTCGCTTTTCCTAAGATCACAGCACCTGATTCTCTCAGTCTCTTGACAACACCCGCGTCTCGAGGCACGACAGAACCAAGCAGAGCCAAGGAGCCAGCCGTGGTGTTCAGCTCATCCTTGGTGGAGATGGAATCCTTGAGCAGAATGGGAACACCGTGCAAGAAAGGAAGCTCAGTGGTAACGTCTTTCACATCACGTTCTCTGTCTGCGTTCTCTGCTTGGATCAAAGCGTCTGGATTCGTCTCAATGACTGCAAAGAGTATCGGATTGAGTTTAGAGATTTCTTCGAGATACAACTCGACTAGCTGCTTTGATGTAAGTCGTTTTTCATTGAAAGCAAGTCTAATATCTTCAACTGTAGCTTCTTGGATAGAGAACGTTGAGGTGAGCATGATGTGAGAGGTGGTGTGGTTCTGAGAAGAAGAAACGCAGAGCCGAAAATGGTCAACGCCAAGCAGCAGATTGCTTCTTTCTCACCAAGATTAAAGAAGTTATTCTTTTTTTTTTTGGACAAACAAAGCATTGCATTACTACTTAGAGTTTACTCTCCCAAAGCGGAGTTCATTACAAACGAAGCAAGAGCTGCTTTCGCTACTGAATCAGCTTCAGAATTGAAGCTGCGGGAAATAAAACTAAACGATATTACATCAAACAAAGAAACAAAGTGATAGATATCAAACATGATACCGAAAAGTTCAGAATGATACTCTCCCTTCCTCAAAAGATTGATAAGAGATAGAGAATCAGATAGAACCGCAAGGGATCGGACGTTTGAATACACAGCGGTCGAAACCGCACGATGAACAGCAATGGCCTCTGCCATTAAAGCTGACGAAACATGGCTATGAGCCTCTGATATGGTGTGAAGAGACATGGTATAATCACCAGAGAAAATTCCTCCTATGCCACAGCCCCCGGATTTGGCGTCCCACGCCGCATCCACCTTGCAAGCTACCACTCCAGCTGGGATTGTCGGAGGGATACAATTTGTACGGTTGTGGACCTGATTCAAAGACTGAGAATGCGGAGGCTCCACCTGAGCATTTCCCCATTCTTTTGCATCTGTTAAGCTTTTAAGAACTATCTCTTGGGCTGTAAAAGCTCTGTTCTCAAAAACTAAATTATTTCTAGCTTTCCATAAGTTCCACATTACCCAAGGCCAGAGAGGATTTGACAAACCGACTGGAGGCAAAGGAATGTATCGGCTCCCCTGTTTCACCAACTCTGCTACAGAGCCAATTGTTGGTGATGGCCTTTGAGCGACTGGAAGGAGACTCCAAACCTCTTCCGCTAGGGGACACGTGAGGAATACATGAAGATCATCTTCATGAACACCACACTTCTTACAATTAAAACGTGGAACTCCCCTCCTCTCCAAATTAGAGCTAACAGGTATAGCCTTCTTAATGACTCTCCACAAAAAATCCTTCAACTTTGGCCCGGTTTTTACGTTCCAGATATGCTTTAGCCACTGTACTGGTTCATTCTCTGCAATCGACAGGTTATTGTCCATGATACCTATTCCATAGCCAGTATTTGTTGAATAAATCCCTGTCTTCTCCGGCAGCCATACCATTGTATCAGAAGCAGGTGTTGAGCTCGTTTTTATCTGCAAAATAGCTTCCTCATACTGAGGTAGAAATAATCGAATTTTCTCTATCTCCCATTTGTTCGTAAGAGGGCACAACAACTCACTGACTTTTAGGGATTGACATCCTACATTAGCCGGTCCCATTGGTTGAGTAGGAGTTTTAAAGGATAGCCATGGATCCTCCCATAATCGAATTTTCTCTCCATCCCCTACAACCCATCCTAACCCTTTTTTTAGAATTTCTCTTCCCGCTAATATACTTCTCCATCCGTGGGAAGCATTAGGAGGTGCTGTGCACGTCAGGAAGGATGAGTCACGGCCATATTTTCCCAGCAGAACTTGCGCGAGGAGAGAGTTTGGCTCTTTAATTAGCCTCCAGCCAATTTTTGCCAGCAAGGAATCATTAAACATCTCAATGTCTCTAAAGCCAAGGCCTCCTGCATACTTTGGAAGTACCATTGAATCCCAGGAGATCCAACACATCTTTCTCTTTCCCGGATTCGCATCCCACCAGAATCTTGTTAGGAGAGACTGTATTTGATTACATAGAGATACCGGGAGTTTAAAACAGGACATGGCATAGCATGGCATTGCAGATAGAACGGACTTGAGCATGACTTGTTTCCCCGCTCCAGAGAGGTATCTAGTAGTCCAGCTATGAGCCTTTTGCCTTATCCTGTCCAGAATGGAAGCAAAAATATCCTTCTTCCTCCTGCCAAATTGTTCGGGTAAACCGAGATATTTCCCGATTCCACCTTCCATGGAAATCGTCAATGTTTCCTTGACTCGAGTTCTGACCGATGCTGGAGTTTTGGCGGAGAAGGTTATGGCTGATTTTTCCGGGTTAATCTTCTGTCCCGAAACCTCTTCATAGGTTGATAAAATCTTCTTTAGAGCCAGCACACATGACGTCTTTGATTTGCAAAAAAACATGGTATCATCGGCGAAGAGTAAATGGTTAATCGGAGGGCTGTTGCGTGAAACTCTGACTCCCGGGAACGATCCATCAGCTTGTCCTTTTGCGCATAGAGCAGAGAGTACTTCAGTGCACAAAATGAATATATGCGGTGAGAGGGGGTCACCTTGTCGCAAACCGCGAGATGGTTTCACCGAGCCTTGGGGAGAACCATTTATCAAAAAGGAGTAAGACACTGATTTTATACAGGTCATGATCCAAGTAACCCATATTGGATCGAACCCAATAAGCTTCAGCACCTCCTCCACAAAACCCCATTCGATCCTATCATACGCCTTGCTCATATCTGTTTTCACCGCCATAGTACAACGTTTCTTAGCCTCGGAGGTCCGCAGAAAATGGAGGGTTTCATGAGTGATAAGTACATTATCAGATATAGCACGTCCCGCTACAAAGGCCGATTGCGTGTTGGAAATGAGTAGGGGCAGTAACGGTTTGAGTCTTCGGGTAAGAATCTTCGCAATAATCTTGTAATGAGTATTGCACAAGGCAATAGGTCTATAATCCGCCACTGATCTTGGTCCCGTACTCTTTGGAATGAGTCTGATATGGGTTTCATTTTGCTGCGGGTGTAGCTGGCTCGAGGTAAAGAAGTTGCGAACGTCCTTTGTCACATCACTGCCCACTATGTGCCAGTAAGATTGATAGAATGTAGCAGAGAAACCGTCTGGCCCCGGGGCCTTGCCCCCATTTATTGATTTCACCGCGTCACTTATTTCCAAATCGCTTGGTATTGCTGTCAACATTTCGTTCATCTCTGGGGTTACCTTCTTCGTGAGCAGTCCCTGGATCTGAGAGAAGGATTCATTACCGTTAGATGTGAAGATTTGAGTGAAATAGGCAGAGATCACTCGGGTAATATCCTGTTCTTCATATACTGCACCTCCCTGCGTATCCTCTATAACAGGGATAGCGTTAATAGTTCTTCTAGTTCTGGTCGCGGCATGAAAGAAACCAGTGTTTCTATCTCCTTGTTTGAGCCATTGGATCCTGCTCCGCTGAAGCCAAAATTGTTCTTCATCCAGGTATGCTTTCCGGAGTTCAGTGTTGATTGCCTCGATGAGCATCGGATCAGGTGTAGCGTCTGATAAAGCGATCTCCAGTGCTTCCTGGTTCCGTTTAATAGTCATGTTACTCTGTAACTGTTGCTCCTTAGCCCATTGAATTATGCTTCTCCTGCACTTATTAAGCTTCAAAATCACAGAGTCAAGAGGGGAGGAGTTCCACGCCGAGTCAATTACTTCCATTATCTCCTTATGTTCCGTTAGAGCTCTATTGAACCGGAACATACCCCTTCTTCTTGGTTTATCAGCATTGAAATAGGACATTAATGGCCTATGATCGGAACCCTCGAAACGTAGATATCGACATCTTCCCATAGGAAACGCTTCAGACCACGAACAATTACCCATAGATCGATCCAATCTAGATCTTATGAAGTGCGTATACCGGTTTCCCCGCCACGATAATTGCTCACCAGAATGCTTAAGATCCCATAATCCATTTTGTGCTACAAAGGAGCGGAAAGCCGTAAAAGATCCTTCTGGCCGAGTGGGACCTCCGATCTTTTCTGCATTGTTAAGAATATCGTTAAAATCCCCTGTCACCAGCCAAGGTGCGTCTCTTCCAAGTCCCACCGAACTTAGCTTGTTCCAAAAGGCAGGTCTGTTCTCTGCAGCAGGGGCACCATACACAAATGATACGAAAGAGGTGATTCCTTTGTATACAATTCTCGTATCAATTAAGTTAGGAGACGATTCGAGAATGGTGATGTCAGTTTCATCGTTCCAAAGGAGGGAGAGACCACCGCTTAAACCCACAGGTGGGACTGAAAAATAGTGAGAATACTGGAGACTCTGTAATTTCTTATTGATAAAATCATCTTCATTCTTTGTCTCCATAAAAAACATTACATCAGGAGCCATATGTTTATGGATCTCCTTAATTCGCCGGATTGTCTGGACGCTCCCAAGTCCTTGACAATTCCAGCTGAGAATAGCTAAGGAAGAGATTTTTGATGGGGCCGAAAATCCACCCCACCTCTGGTGCTACCCGGTATAAACACCGTCGTTGGCTGATCCTTCTTCTTGCGTTGAGTACTTGTGCCTGCCTTATTACAAGGGGAAGAAAAAGCTTCTTGTTTGAATATTTTGTGAGCATATTGCATACTTTACATTAAGAAATTAAAAGATTCCTTAACCGTATAAAATATGATTTATTGATTTGTGATTAAGGTTGGGAAAATAAACTAAATCTTAAAATCTGAACCGGATCTAACCTAAAGAATTCGAACCGACCTAATATCGTTTTATGATATTTCAGATAATAAATTTTATTCGACTGAATATATATAAATTCAAAATCTCTAAAAATTTGGAAAAAAATCGATTTCAATCTATCTAAAACACATTAAAATATTAAATATCTAAAATAATTATTTATTACATAAATAATTAAATCAAATATTTATTCTATATGTATTTTTTATTTAGTTAATATTAATGTTTCTAAGTTTTGACAATTTTTTTAAAGTTTTAATAATGTTCACTATGTTTATAGAGTTAATAGTTATAAATTTTAATTTGTTTATGGTTCATATATTATATAAATTATATATAGTTATCATTTGTACAAGATTTTGATTTGTCATAAAGACAAATTTTATATGGTTGTTAGATATGATTTGAAGACAAATTTGATACATAAGTCTCTTATTTGTTTGAGGAGCCAAACACATAAATTATTGAAAATATTAAAAGTATGTTAAATTGAATCAGACATATATTAATATTACTAGGTTCATAGCTCCGCGCAAGCGCGGAGCCGGAGACAGTGATAATGCGTTATGATGTTTTATATATAGGATTTTGTCATTTTTTTGGACATTTTTTTGTTTGGGGTTTAACCGAAAACCCAATTGAATTGACTTGATATACGAAAGAGTGAAAATTCATATACTTTGAAATATTCATATATTATTTTAGTAATGATTTTTTCGAATATTTGTGTTATTAGTGCTTTTATGTCCAGGATGGGTGATTTATTATGTTGTCATTATCTAATTCGTAGGTTGGTAGTATATTATTGTTAAATAATGAATTAGCATTTTTAAACTCTTTTAAAAGATTTTTATTCAATTATACAAAGAAATATAGTTTAATGGATTGAAGAGAGAAAGATGAAACGTGTTTATTAAGGGGTTGTGTGGAATGTTGAGAGATTAATCTTTATTAGTGAGTAAAAACCTGTTTTTATTTACAAATAAGATTGTTTAACAAATTCATATGTGTTCGTATTTCTACATTTTTTTTACGATTTAATTCGATCTTAATGTTATTAGTGAGTTAATAACCATATGTAGCTAAACATAGGTATTTGTTAATAAACAACTATAATATGGGAACGAAGAGAAAATAATTTTGTTATCCGAAAAGAAATATAGTTTATTGTTTTCAATGTTCCATGACATGTTTTGAAAATATATAACTGTAGTTTAATAATGCTAATGCTTCGTATAATTATATACATGTATGACTAAGATAGTTATTTTTTTGTATTTGTCAAAAATATTTTGTGGTAGTTTAACAATGGGAATGGTGGATTAAAAAGTTTAGTCGTATAGGACTTATATTCGAACACAATGAAAATGTAGTAGTTGGGTTTTAAATGATTGGACTTGAAATTTGATGAGTCTTGAGTCTCAATTTAGATCTGAAACTGGATTGTTTACTCGCCATTTTTGTTTCTCCTCGTCATCTTCAGCAGTGTGACAAGCTCTTGTGATTCTTGGTCTGGTTGCGTTTTTAGTGTGTCATTTTGTGAAATTATGGTTTTTCTATAGCAACATGGAAGAGAGATTTGCTCACCTCAGTTAAGGCTGTCTCCACCGCATTCCTTACCCAGTGAACCTATATTGATTCGGTGTTCTCGGAACCTGCAATAAGAAGGTTTGAATTTGTTGTATGACTTTGTTTCTATTATTATTAGTTTCGTTTACTAAAACTCATACTGAATGATTTGAGGTTCTATATTTAATTTGGCTCGTATGGCTTATGTTTACTTTAACATGACAGAAAGACTCGAAGGCTGCATGACGGACTCCGGTGACGCTAATTTTAGGAATTGGAGAAGCAGAGAGAGATATTTTCTAGAAGATGGTTAGAGTTAAGAGGAATAGATAAGTTTTGTGAAGATGCAGATAGGGTTCATCAAAGATGAGAATCATATATATATATATATAGGATTTACATAGGGGATACAAATCAGGAACATTTATGAGCAAGCGATGTAAGATGGGGAGATGAAGAGTTCACCGGTGAAAAAAATAGATTACGAACACACATGGGGTATCTCTGTAACTCAAACCTGTATGAGACGATGGTGAAAGGAATCTTAACTCATTTTAAACATTGACGGTTTACAATATGGAAAAACTATAACTGTTGTAAACTTGAGGATTTTCTTCATATAATGTGATTAATCCCAATTAAAAATAAAATTCATAATACACTTCGAGGCTCGAACTTTAAAGGTCATTAATGGAAAGGCTTCCGGCTAAATATATATTAGTTTCGGCCATCAATGTACAAGTTATCCTGTAGTTTGGTGGTATGAATGTTTGTGTTTGTTTCTTAATAACCCGGGTTCAAATCATATGTTTGACAATTTTTTAAAGTGGGACCCACCTAATGCTGATGTGGCGCGCTAAGGAGTCTTGAAACTCAACTATTATAATATAGATTTTTTTTTTTTTGAACAAACAAACATATATTAATATTTCTAAATCTGATAATCTGATTAAAACCGAAATTATTCTAGATTCAACAGGATGAAATGTCGTGTAGGACTCAAACATATAATCAAACCCAGACTGAATTCCTCAACTTTTATATTACATAAATGGGTTGAAATTCATGAACGAAAACCAAGAGCTGAGCAAGAGATTGGTTAAGGACAAAGGTTGCAACTAGCCATTAAATCAAGCAAAATTTAAAGTATTTACTTCATCTTGCAAGATTCCGTTATGGATTAAGAACACGTGACTTGCAGGATTTAAAGCTGATCAGTTGATAGTAATAATATTAAAAAGCTCATAGTTATTCATAATTATTCAAAGACAAGTCAAATTCAAAACCCTCAAGAGGGTTTTTACAAGCTCGAAAGATCAGAAAAAACATTCGAAAAGCAACAGATAACACATTCATCAGATTCCAAAGCCCATCCATCACTCAGATTTAAGCAATCTGACCACAATCAGCGACAACCACAGGCTTCTTAGTCGTCCCGGAAGAAGAGCCAACTTTCTCAATCGCCTTCACAACATCCATACCTTCAACAATCTGACCAAACACAACGTGCTTCCCATTAAGCCACGAGGTCTCAGCGGTACAAATGAAAAACTGAGACCCATTAGTGTTGGGCCCAGAGTTCGCCATGGATAAAATCCCAGGCCCAGTGTGCTTCTTCACAAAGTTCTCGTCCTTGAACTTATCTCCGTAGATCGACTCTCCACCGGTTCCGTTCCCGGCGGTGAAATCTCCTCCTTGGCACATGAATCCGGGGATCACGCGGTGGAAGCCTGATCCCTTGAAGTGGAGTGGCTTCCCCTTCTTTCCGACTCCTTTCTCGCCCGTGCAGAGGGCACGGAAATTCTCGGCGGTGGCGGGTGTCGTGTCGGCGAAAAGCTCCATCACGATGCGGCCTGAGGGGGCGCCGCCGATTGTCATGTCGAAGAAGACTCTTGGGTTAACCATTTTTCTTTCTTTTTTTGGGTTGGGATTGAAGAGGAGGCTGTGGTGATTGTGATGGTGTGCTGGTTAGGGTTTTTGTGATGGGGGTTCATATAGAGAGGAGGATTTAATGTTGGAAAGGAAATTGTGTTTGAGACCGTTGATTGGAGGCACGTGTAGGGTTTATGATTAATCGTGGTTGAGTTTTGTTTGACTGGGGTTTAAAGTTGCGTGGATTTGAGGCTGTTCGTTGTAGGAAGATTTATTTATTGTTTAGATGGACCCGACAAAGGGACGGCGTTTTTTTTATATAGGTGGGCCGAGCCGAAAGTAGAAGCCCAATATCTAGTTTTACTAATTATTATAATTTACTTTTTTTTAAATATTCTTTTGAGATAATTGCACAAGTATCTTGAAGTTTATTAAACGTATAACACGGTGAATAGTTTAAGAAATTTAGGTAAATGTAAGTAAAACAACACTTTGTGACCATATTTCGTTAGATTTATGCAACTTGCGTGGCTTATTCAGCCTTGTTCCACTTATTTAGCATGTCTCCTTCGGTTGTTGACCACTCAAAAATCTTGAGAATATGAAATGTAGGATGCAAAAGAAAATATAATAGATATTGATTTAAGGTGGAATGATACTAATTATGCCGATTTGGACGTTTGATGGGATTATTAGGTTTCACTTTTTAGAAGAATAGCCCAGCCCATTTTGTGTTTATTACCAAAGTGATAAGATTTTGCTTGCCAGTCACAACATGTGCATATAACCAAAGAAAATTACAACACACCATCAACTTCATCAAATGTATTTTAGACACGCGACGGCTCCTAGTGTCCTAACTAGGGTTTTTCATTGGAATTAATCCGTTTTTCTTTTCACTCCACGACATGCTAACATCATGAGCGTAGAGTATCCGCTATTATTTTGACATGCGGCAGTGATGTTACCATTTTCAACTTATATCACATTATTGTCTAGAATAAGCTAGCACAAAAAAGAATCCCTAAATCCAAAAGTTAATTAAAATCAAATCAAAGCACTGGTTAAATAAACTTTTGGAGTCGGCCAATAGACAATGTTAATTGTTTTTTTATAATCTAGTAATATTCGTTCTCCAAACTATACAACCTTTTGATAAAGATCTTTATTATTCAAATCGAAAGTCACTCTAAGTTAAGTTAAATACTAGTAAAATATGCAGAAACGAACAATTATCAGTCATCTGACTCTGTGCATGGCACGAGATCCGCTGCCACCGCACACGTGGACAACCAAACATTTTACTCACTGCAAAGATACTCTCTCACGTCACTGATTATGAACTTATATGATATTTATTTAAATAAAGAAAGTATAATACTGGTGAAACTCGAAAAGCAACAACCTCCGTGCAATCATATCATATGCATGGCTTGATCAACTTAACCTTTTTCACCTTCCCCATCTCTAGAGTCACTGTGCTCGTTTCCAATCTTCCCGTCACAATCACATCCTGTTCGTACACGTGGACCCACATCCTCTTTTTTTTTTTGCCGATACGTCTACCCTTTGCCGTTTCGGAAGATTACTTGTTCCACTAGTGTTATACACTCTCGCTTCTCTTCTGTTTCGTGATCACAGAGAAGAGATAGAGAGCAGAGAGATAAGCTCTTTCGTTTCGTCTTCGTCTTCTTCTTCGTTCCACGCTCGATCATCAGGTTCGTGAATCCGTCTACGTCTCTCTGTGGTTTAAGAACTATATAGATAGGTTTACAACTCCCTGCTTAGTTTGTTTCGCCGGATCTCCGGCGAAGTGCTTTAGCTCCGTGATAGCTTTGTTTACGATCCGTTCTCTGCGTTGATATCGTTGAAATCGAATCGAAATCTCTCTTTGTTTGCTTGTTCTTTGGAATTTACATGATAATCTGACGGTTCGATGTTATGTTACTGTTGTTTTGTGAAGTTTCTCTGATTTTCTGCGTTCTGTTTGATCAGTTTTCTCCGTTTGACAAGTCTCCACTCAACGTCTTGATTGATTACGATATGATCATGCCAAAATGGATCTGATAACGATTTATGTGATTGCAGGGGATGATCATTGGCTAGGAGATTTGAATCAATCTATAGAGCAATGTCGAGTTTTAACCTAAAAGTAGATGTAAATCAGAACGGGGATGTCAAGAAGGCGGCTGATACACTGGACGATATTAATGACATTGATTTCTCCAAGTTGCTAGAGAAGCCAAGGCCGTTGAATATAGAGAGACTGAGATCACTTGATGAAAGGTCTCTTACTGAGTTATCTGGATCACCGCAGCTTAGAAACGCGGATAATGCTTCCTCTCGGGTTCATGATCACGCTGATTATGTGGTTACACCGAGTGTGGGTAGGAGGTCTGGATTCAACACTCCTCGGTCATTTCATGGATTTGAGTCTCATCCTATGGTGGGAGAGGCTTGGGATGCTTTGAGAAGGTCTATGGTGTACTTCCGTGGTCAACCTGTTGGGACTATTGCTGCTGTGGATAACTCTGAAGAGAAACTCAACTATGATCAGGTGAAGAGTCTTAATATTTTGCTTAAAAACACACACATTTTAATTCTGTTTGTTGGTTGTCTTAGGTGTTTGTGAGAGACTTTGTACCAAGTGCTTTGGCATTTTTGATGAACGGTGAACCAGATATAGTGAGAAACTTTCTTTTGAAGACTCTTCGTCTTCAATCATGGGAGAAAAAGATTGATAGATTCCAGCTTGGTGAAGGAGTTATGCCTGCTAGCTTCAAAGTTTTCCATGATCCTGTTAGAAACCATGAAACTTTGATTGCTGATTTTGGTGAGAGCGCTATTGGGAGAGTAGCGCCTGTTGATTCTGGATTCTGGTGGATTATTCTGCTCAGAGCATACACAAAATCTACGGGAGACTCTTCTCTTGCTGACATGCCTGAATGCCAGAAGGGTATACGTTTGATACTAAGCCTTTGTCTCTCTGAGGGATTTGATACTTTTCCCACTCTCTTATGTGCTGATGGATGCTGTATGATTGATCGTAGGATGGTGAGCTAAAGTCATTTTGCTAATTTAATTCTTTCTACAAGGAAACAGTTTGAGACTCTTCTGTTTTCCTTTGTTTTAGGGAGTTTATGGTTACCCGATAGAGATTCAAGCCCTCTTCTTTATGGCCTTAAGGTGTGCACTGCTCGTACTTAAACATGATGGAGAAGGTAAAGAAATGGTGGAGCAGATAGTGAAGCGACTTCATGCATTGAGCTACCACATGAGGAATTACTTTTGGCTAGACTTGAAGCAGCTTAATGACATCTACCGATACAAAACAGAGGAATACTCTCACACTGCTGTCAACAAGTTCAACGTTATCCCTGATTCTCTTCCAGAATGGGTCTTCGACTTTATGCCATCTCACGGGGGGTTTTTTATCGGCAACGTTAGCCCCGCAAGAATGGATTTCCGTTGGTTTGCGTTGGGAAATTGTATAGCCATATTGTCTTCCATGGCTACTCCTGAACAGTCAACAGCAATTATGGATCTCATAGAATCTCGCTGGGAAGAGTTGGTTGGAGAAATGCCACTGAAAGTTTGCTACCCTGCAATAGAAAGTCATGAATGGAGAATAGTTACTGGTTGTGACCCCAAAAACACCCGATGGAGTTACCACAATGGAGGGTCCTGGCCAGGTAATTTTACTAAATCTCCTCTGTTTTTCTACTAATCTGACCTTTATGTTCCCTGGTACAGTGCTGCTATGGCTATTGACGGCTGCTTGTATCAAAACTGGTCGGCCTCAAATAGCAAGACGAGCGATTGAAGTAGCTGAGGCGAGGCTTCATAAAGACAATTGGCCTGAATACTATGATGGAAAGCAAGGGAGATACGTGGGGAAGCAGGCACGTAAATGCCAGACCTGGTCAATCGCCGGATACTTAGTAGCCAAGATGATGCTGGAAGATCCATCACATGTCGGTATGATTTCTCTTGAGGAAGACAAACAAATGAAACCCGTTATGAGAAGATCCAACTCCTGGACTTGTTGAAGTTTCATCATCTTCGTCAAGGTAACGTTAGCAAGAGATGAGCTAAAAAGAAACTTCAATGACTCTTCTTTCGTTTCTCAATTTGCACATTTTACGTTTTGTTTTGTTTTGCTTTGTGAAATATTTTTAGACTATGACACATATAAGCATCGTAAAAAAGAGTTCTTCTCTTTAAGCTTCACATTCTTATTACATGCATATCTCTCTCTCTCCGTTGCTCAAACATCAAGGTTTCGAGCAACGATGCCTTCAAAAGCTAGAATTAGACCCCACTCGTTTTCAACTTCCTCCATGTTCCTTGCTTCCCTGCTCTCCTCCAACATATACTCCCAACACATAAACGATTGAATTGCTACCTGCGTTGCCATAGTCCATGAGAGCTCTTCGGCTTGGACTCAGCTTCTCTGGCGAGAGGTTAAGCCTCTTTTCCATTCGGTTCAAGATGGCTGGTCATAGTCTGGTTATAGTCTTTAGGAGTCAGTCCCGCTTTTCCTATTAGCTTCTTGCAGAAACTCTCCACGTTGTCTTCTATTATCTGCGGAAGCTCTCTCGACAGCGTGAATTTTTTTCCCTTCTAAAAAATCAAATTCGAAATTCTTTGAGCATTTTCTCTTGACACAGCATAATCTTTGGGTTTAACTAAAAGCTATGTGTTCCTAACCAACACAAGAGTGTGTACACTTCCAAAGAATGAACAGAGAAACTAACTTTTTTTTTTTTATCAAAGAACAGAGAAACTAACTAAAAGCTTCTTACTACTGCTTAATCTGCCTATACCCTTTTGCTTGAATCATTCACATCCCTTGTTCGGCCAATGTAAAATTCGACGAAACTTCAGAGGTGTGATAGACAGTTCCCACTGATAAAACAGGGAAGAACTGTCTACACTCTACACAGAAGAAGCAGTAGCAACTGAACAAGGCAGAGAAACACTTGAGGAGAAAAGTTCATGGACTGTTCCCTGTCTTTTAACTGTAGCATCATTTGCTGTCATGGATTCATTTTGCGACATATCCATTGAATCGCCAGTGGGCCCACACTTGGATTCAGACTCAATCTCAAGCCCAAGCCTATCTAAACGCAACAGACAAGTAAACATTCTTTTGTTTTGGTCTTTGTGATAAGGAAAACGTTGACGACTTGACGGCCGTTAAAGCCACGTCAGCATATGGTCCCACTAGCGAGTCGTTCGTTATTTCATATCCTCTCACTAGTCTCCTCTTAATGCTTCCTTTATCCTCTCATCATCTTTCCTCCTCCCTCTCTAGCCTTCTCCTCCAATGGAGGTTACCTCCACCTTCGTCTCCACCTCTTCGTCTTCGAAGTATCTCACCTTAACTTCATACTCTCCGGTGATTCTTCCCGCTTCTAGTCTCCGTTCCATCCGTACTGATTTCCTCGGCTCCTGCCACACTCTCCGTCCTCCTCATCCTCATCATCATCTTCGAACTCGCGCGGGAAAACGGAGAAATGGTCGTTCTTCTTCAACACGATCGCCTCGTTTAGTCGTTAGAGCTTCTATCGACTCTGGTCTGATCCTTGTTGTTGTGGCTGTTACCGCTTTTTCCGCCATTGCTTTCGCTTATTGCCAAAGTACTTTCAGAAAACGTAAACTTCCCGACAAGACCAGTCGAGTTTCCGACAAAGTGAGTTAATACTTAATATATTAGGTTTCCTTTACCTCTACAATCTCTCGAGTTGAGTTTTGATGAAATTTCTAAACTTGTTCAGGTTGCAGCATCTCCTGAAACGCTTCATGGAGGAAGCATCAGTAGTGTTGAGAGTCAGCGGGAAAGTCAACATTTTGATGTTCATGAAGGCGCTCCTGTGGAAGTAAATGGAGGTTTTAGAAAGAAGGTGGAAGAGGAGGCTCATCAAACTGCTGTGATGGAGTTAGATTCATTTGTGGCCAAAGAAACGGAGATGGCAGCTGAGGAGTCACAGTTTGCTGTTGCCAGTGAACATAGTTCTACAAATGATTCCCTTTCAGCTCCTATGAGTAATGGGTATGTTGCTGTGACATTGGGAGCACAAGCACCTGAAAAGCAAGTTGAAAACATCGAAGAGAAAATAGTTAGAGATGAGTCCCTTTCATCTTCTCTTAGTAATGGGTCTGTTGCTTTGGAATCAACCACATTGGAAACAAAAACACCTGAAAAACAGATTGAAGACAGCCAAGAGCAAAAGGTTACGGATTATGTTTTTTCACAGGAAGTGGTGGGAGTTCATTCGATTGCTTCTCCACATGTGGTAGATGATGATACACGTTCTCTCGAGCATGAGTATAATGGTCTGATCCAAAAGCCTATCGAATATAGCATTTTCACGGAGAATAAGAGAGAAGAAATTCACACATTTTATGGGTCTAATCATTCATCACCAAGTTCTTCCAGGTTGACAAGTGTTAAAGCAGTCTCTCCTACTCTTACTTCTCCTGCAACTGATAGTTTATTGTTAGACCACAAGAACAATGGAACCATTGATACTCAGTTCTCAGGACCAAGTTCTGGTCAGGCTCCTGGTACGCTACTTTACATGTCAGAGTTGATACGATCTCATGTTTCTTCGCGGAGCCAATCCATGAGATGATGCTTTAAAGTTACTTTCCGTTGCAGGTTATATTGAAGAAGAGAATCTTGTGGGACACGGTAACGGTGGTTTATCCTTCCAAAGGAATGATGGAAGAAGAGACTGGGAAGTTCCAGATGATGTGAAGCATGTGGTTCACCAAACTGATGAAAGCATGCCTGAGTTCCCTTCTCAGATACTTAATAGCAATGGGCGTTCTGTAGAAACTACTGATGCTTACTACCGATTACTTAGAGATGGGAGGTAAGAAATATTCTCTGGCTTGAAAAAACAGTGCTCTGTCTTGTGCCTGTCCTCTTTTTCTTCTGCTGGCATTGTTATTCATTCTTTGGAAGTTTTGTTACCAAACAAAGGTTACTGCATTGTTTGAATTTGAGGGTGTGATATCCATATGTAATAGGCTAATGGATTGCATAGACGCACTTGAAGATCTGGAGAAAAGGGATCTATTGGACATGGACAAGGTATGGCTGCTTTCCTAAGAGATCTTAAGTATTGCTTCTCCTTTAACTGTGGAACTTTTTGTCAGTGATCATATTTTTCCTATCTCCTCAGATTTATCACGCAAGCTTCTTTAAACTCTGCAAGAAGCAAAGGGCTGTCAAGGAAGCATTTCGCTTTACCAAGTTGATTCCAAATCCAACCTTAAGCACATTCAATATGTTGATGTCTGTATGTGCAAGCTCCCAGGACATAGAAGGTGATATTAATATTCATATAATTTTTTGATCTTAAAGTTCATTTTGTTAAATGTTTAGTTGTTACTTATGTAGGAGCTCGTGGAGTTTTGCATCTGGTGCAAGAGAATGGTATGATGGCTGATTGCAAACTTTATACAACTTTAATATCAAGTTGTGCTAAAAGTGGGAAAGTTGATGCAATGTTTGAGGTATAGTAATCTTCTTTTCCCTGTATGTTAAACAAGGATACATATTAGGCTGTTTCTTTGGAATCTCTATTATATCATGAAGAGTGATAAATTTCTGGGACACCTCATTTGTAGTCTTGTCTGAATTGTGTAGTATTGTTTTCAGTTCTCCCAACCAGGGAAAGGTGTCTTTTGAATTATTTTTACACACCATATTGAGTTGGTGATATTGTCTGGATCTTAAACACTGATAATAAAATCATATCACCTGACCTGATAGTATCCTAAATGGTGCCATGTACTGTACACTTCTTCATATATCTGTGTGGTTATATTCTCAGGTGTTCCACCAGATGGCAAATTCTGGAGTAGAACCCAATCTTCACACGTTTGGTGCGCTTATTGATGGCTGTGCTAGAGCTGGACAAGTAGCCAAGGCATTTGGTGCTTATGGAATTTTAAGGTCTAAGGTAAGCCTGCCATAAGTTTGTATTGCCTCTTGCTCTGTGGCTACTAAATGTGTGTTTTAATCTTGCTCATTATGTCCATTATGTTTTGTAATATCAAGGCTATTATTACATTGATGACATGTTCGATGCAGTAGAATGTTAAGCCAGACCGGGTTGTATTCAATGCCCTCATCTCTGCATGTGGTCAGTCAGGAGCTGTTGACCGTGCTTTTGATGTGTTAGCTGAAATGAAGGCTGAAACACACCCTATAGACCCTGATCATATCACAATTGGTGCGTTGATGAAGGCATGTTTTAATGCTGGACAGGTGTGTGGCTTTTTCTTTTTGTTCCAATTTCTTTTTTTCACTTTCTATTTGATTAAGGGTAAGTTTATTGCAGGTAGAACGATCTAAAGAGGTATACAAGATGATCCATCAATATGGAATAAAGGGTACTCCAGAAGTCTATACCATCGCTGTGAATAGTTGCAGCAAGTCTGGGGACTGGGATTTTGCATGTAGCATATACAATGACATGAAAGACAAAGGTGTTATCCCTGACGAGGTATGTCTATTTTGCATTCTGTTTTTGTTGGAAGATCTTTATGAGGCATGAACATGTCTCTTCATACCTGCTGAAACTCATGGAAGTGGGTGAAATTATTCCAAGTGCTTCTAAGGCCATCTTGGTTTTGACCTTCTGCAGGTGTTTTTTAGTGCATTGATCGATGTTGCAGGACATGCAAAAATGTTAGACGAAGCTTTTGGCATTCTTCAGGATGCGAAATCTCAAGGCATACGTCTGGGAACAATAACATATAGCTCACTGATGGGAGCTTGTTGTAATGTATGTGCCTTTTATAGCTGTAGCAAGAGTTAAATGCCTTGAACACTACTGACCCTTTTTTCTTTTAATTTAGGCGAAAAAATGGAAGAAAGCATTGGAGCTCTATGAAAAGATCAAGTCAATCAGACTTAGACCAACTGTTTCAACAATGAATGCCCTTATAACTGCCTTGTGTAAGACCTCATACGTTGCTATCTTAAACTTTAACCCTTTTAATAAATAAAGATGATAAAGTATAAGGCGCAAAAGAAAAATGAAATATGGTATTACCACAATTGCTGGTATGACACCTGAGATTATCAACAGGTGAAGGTGGCCAACTTCCCAAGGCTATGGAATATCTTGATGAGATAAAGACTTTGGGATTAACACCAAACACTATCACTTACTCTATGCTCATGCTGGCAAGTGAAAGGTAACTGCTTTTTATGTTCAAATAATTAAGTTTGTTTGGATCTAATAAGTGCAGATTTGAGAATTCAGTATTCTTTGACGTTTCTCTGTGTAGAAAGGATGACTTTGAGGTAAGTTTCAAGCTTCTCTCTCGAGCAAAAGAAGATGGAGTATCACCGAACTTCATCATGTGCAGATGCATAACAAGTAAGCTTGTATATTATATTCATCGTAGTCCATATGGTGCAATCAAACATGTAAGCGTTTGTTTTAGTGTAGCACTTATGCTTCCTACTTTTTTTGCTATTTTATATAGGCCTTTGCAAGCGAAGGTTTGAGAAGGCTTGTGCTGCTGGTGAACCTGTTGTGTCTTTTAAATCAGGACGACCTCAGATTGAAAATAAATGGTAAGTATAGCTTCCTTTTTCAAGTCTTAAGGCAGTCTCACTTTTCTTCTTAATGTTGGAAAAGTTTGAGACAAAATCTTGTGATACTTCCCAGTTCAAGCAATCTTGATTGAGGTTTTAGTAAATTTGTTGGATTTGATCTGATACTTGTGTTACTCTCTCTTCCCTTTCTTTCAGGACATCAATGGCCTTAATGGTTTACCGTGAGACAATATCAGGTGGTACGGTTCCTACTACAGAAGTAGTTTCACAAGTTTTGGGATGCTTGCAACTTCCACATGATGCTGCTTTGAGGGATAGGCTGATTTCGAATTTAGGCAACATTTCTTCACAAAAGCAACATAACATATTCCCACTAGTAGATGGGTTTGGAGAGTATGATCCTCGAGCATTTTCACTGCTTGAGGTATGTTGATAGCTTCACATAAATATCAACTCTTCTGCGTTTCATTAGGTCTACAGAGTTTATACTTTTTCATGATTTGCAGGAGGCTACTTCTCTTGGAGTCCTTCCTTCTATGTCCTTCAATAAAGTTCCATTGTTTTTTGACACGACAGAATTGCCCAAAAACGTGGCTGAGGTAAAAACCCTTTTGTTTTAGTGGAATAGAATTTACAAGATTTCCATCTGGTTCCCAAGATTACTATGGATTAACTCTGCCAGTATGAATTGTTCATCTTGTAGCTCAATTGTATTTGAAAGGAAATAAAAAGAACACATAAATCAACATCTCACTCTTTTAGCACTAATGGGATTCTCACTCATCTTAACTATGTCATGAAAAATATGGCAGGTTTACCTCTTAACCATCTTTAAAGGTCTAAAGCATCGCCTTGCAGCTGGTAAGATTATCTATTTTCTAGACTTTTTATGATATAACTTTACGTTAATCTTGTTTAATTTAGTTCCACCCCTTGATCGTTTTTGGTATTTTGGCTTTTCTTGATCTGAATATCCACTATCAAATCATCAAGTTTATGGTATAAAATTTAAATACCACTAAGCTTTAAGATAGACTTTCAGAGGACAAGAAGTTGAGGGCATGTTAAACAAATGTTTAGCTAGTTGGGAAGATCTAGGTTGATTGAATTTTTCAATGGCTTGGAGCCAGTAAAATCTCTTACCTGCTAGTCCCATATATGTTTCAGGTGCGAAGATACCTCATATTAATCTGATCATTTCCATAGAAGAGAAGGAGATCACGACTCCTGAAGGAGAGAAGACAATTGACCTTGCAGGAAGGTAAAGTTAGAGTATCCTATTTTTATATTTTAATTTTACAGAGATGATGTTTAACCTTTCAAGTATTATTATGTATTCTTCTAAGAACATCCCTTTTGTTGACAGGGTTGGACAAGAAATTTCTGCGTTGTTGAGAAGGTTGGGGATACCTTATCATAGAAAGGATTCTAAATTAAGAATCAATGGTGTTTCTTTGAAGAACTGGTTTCAACCAAAGCTTGACTCACCATTCTCCACAAAGCCAGGGGACTTAAGATCATCACAAGTACCATTAGGTAACCAAATCACTCGCCAGCAACGCAGCATTCGACTAGGGAACCTCTCACTTGAGTGAGAACTGAGAAGAGGCTTCTCTCATTTTGATCCTTACCTCCGAGAGTTTTTTTTCTTACACGCAACGAGATACTCAGTACATGTCACATCACATTCCTCCAGAGTCGCAGCAGAAAGATGGAACATTCAAGTTTTGCTTCCTGCATAGACTTCTTAGTTCTTGCTGTCCACATGAGGATGTTGCATAGTGACAAGAAGTTAATTGCATGGTAAAACAGTTGGTATGTATATCTGTAAGCTTGTATTTATTCATATATAAATGGTAAATGATTCTTTTAAGGACTTCAGAAACTTGTGTATGTCACTTTATTAGAGTTAACCAAATATGAGATTGGTAAATTTCCACATATATATGTATCAATTCTTACAATTCTCCATGATTAAAAATACATGGAAGAAGATAATGAAAAGATACATCATCTATCTCTATAACATATTTTCAAGATCTCTATAGTCTATAGATACAATTCTCCTAAGAGACATCAATCTTCTCTTTTTAACATTATTGTAACCGAGAAGCAATGAGATCAAGAAACACTTCTTCTCTACAAGGAATGGTCAAGCCTCCCATTGGATGATTGAATCCAAACTCTTCCTCTGCTCGACTAAGGAACTCTCCGAAGGAAGGATGATTCAGAAACGAAATTGGAACCACAAATCTCTTCTTCTCCTTCTCGACTTGCTCTCCTACGTACACTGCCACATGCCCTTTAGGGACATGATCCAATGATGATGATGTTCGGCTTCTGTTTGCAAGTGAGTTTAGCTTCAGTATCTGTTTTGTTGCATTTGTAATCGCAAGCCGACTCAACCCCATCTTTCGTTCTTTTTTTTCTTACTATAGGATCAAAGATGCAAAACGAATTATCTGAAGGCAAGGTTTTTGTTTTGGTTTTCAACACAATGCTTGAGATGAAGAAAGGTAGTGATATTGCCTCTTATATATAATAATGAAAATTTTGAAATAAACGACTAATGGCTTTTCAGAAATTTAAGGGCATTTATTGAGTTTTTTCTTTATGCAAGTTGTTTGGCTTACTTCATTTTGTCACATGCAGTGCAACTAGTTTCATCAAGTCTTCTAACAAAATTTTCTTTGTTCTCGTTAATATATAATGATAAACTTAAATTGAAAAGTCAGAAAATTATTATAATTTTCTTTGTTCTCATTAATATATAATGATAAACTTAAATTGAAAAGTCATAAAATTATTATAATTTTCTTTGTTCTTACTAATATATAATGATAAAATTAAGTTGAAAAGTTAGGAAAATTATTATAAAAAAATTTCTCTGGATATAAGAATTTATGTATTCCACTTCTCTTCAGCATAGAAGTGTGTGCTTTTAAAAATATTAGATGATAACAAGTGGACAAGAACATGCAAAAGAAGAGAGTGAGCAACTTGTCACATTGGATGAACATGAAGCAAAAAAATCAGGATAGATATAGTCAATTTGATATTTCAGATGTTAGTATAGAAGAAATGCTCAATTTGGTTAATCACTGAATTAGTTTCCGTTTGATAGACGCAGGTGGCTCTGAGATTTATAGGGTTATAAGTGACTTATTGAAGTTTTCAATTAATTTTATTTTTGTACAAATTTGGAGATCTAGATTTTATTTTTGAGATTGCGTCTATATATTTTTTGAAAATTTAAAATTAATGTTTCGTTAGACTTTGTCCATGACCAACAATGGATAGATGAGAATTATTACGGCCACAGATATATTCCATTTCTTGAAGCTAATTAACAAATCATTATGTTTTGATATTTTCATTTGTTGGGTCGCATCTAATCACCCAATTTTCAATCTTTAATTACATGGATGCTTTTCCGAATCATTCTTTAGTTTCCAGTTGGATACTTCACATTGTTATATTTGGAAAACAACATTAAACCAGATATCAGTAATATTTAAAAAAAATGAAATTATATGACGTGTTTTTGATTTAGTCCAAGAATATATGGTTTAATAGCATGTATTCGAGCTGGATATCCAAAAATGTATTAGCTAGTAATATCTTCTTAGGAAATATCGATTTCAGCTTTCGAACTCGGAATTCAGGTGTATCATATGTTAAACAAACTGTCGGACTAGCTACTTGATAAAGCTTGTATGTCAAATTTCTAGCAAACTTAAATGCAAATTATTTTTTAATTAAATAGGAAAATCAACTGAAAATATTTATTATTTCTTTCTTTCCTTATTGATATGTGAGAAGTTAATATTTGTGTTTGATTGATAGTTCTTTAGATAGATGTTCTTATTATTTGGCCATTATCCCACATATATATAGCTTGATGTGCTATAATGAAACTCCCTCTAGAACTTAGCATATGTATGCTGATATTACGTCTGTGTTATGCGACAAAGTTTATAAGAAATTTCTCCATGAGTTACATTATAACATGATTGTTATCTTGATTTGCCGCGTCCTGTAGATCTTCAAAGAAGATGTTCTGAAGCGTTGTAGTGATCTGTTTTTGTTGAAATGTCATTATCTTTAACTTCTAAGTAATACATGATATAATTGCCATGATCTTATCTACCATGTACACCCTAACAGAAAATATTTGCAAATCACATACCTCTAAATGACATTGACAAGATACAGTAGTTGATGTATCACAATCAGAAAAAGGAGCTTATGATGAAGACCTATCGTTGGTCCAGAACATGGCCAGTTCAATTGATTCAAAAGTTGTATGCTATACTGTTATAAAAGCAAAATAAAATAAGCTTTGGATTCTTTATTTATTATTCTCTTATAAATTTGAAGACTAATAATTTGTTTTTTATACAATACTGAATTTTTGCCACCGAAATATTAACTAAACTGATATTAAAATTGTTAAGGTCTAATGCAAAGTATCTAAGTCGTCCCTAGTGTTCCAATAGCGACCCAATTATTTGATAAGGAAGGTCTTTGGGTTTCATTCGATTATTAATAGGCAATGAATGGAATAGTTAGTGAGTTTAGACAGTTTGCTCAAGTCAAAACAATTTCGATAAATAAGCAAATAATGGGTCGTAGTAAATGCTAATGACTTGTTTCTAACACCGTCATTGGTCAGGTTTAACACCGATTTTAAAATTGAACTTCTGCAACCATGTGATTATTAATTTTACCTAGAAATCATTAGTTAGGCTAAGGTATTGGATTTTCCGAATCAAGCTAAGGTTATACAACATATTTACAGGCTTCAACATGTTCTCCTTTGCAGAAATAAACAAAGGGAATAACAACAAAATTCTATAAAATGGAAAGAAGAAAATGTTGGGGTTTCCCAAAAAAAAATGTCTCAAGTTGAAATAATACAACCATAAGAATTCAAAAGACCCACGAATATTTCTTCTCTGCAAGGAATCGTTAATCCACCAATTGGATGGTTGAAACCAAACTCTTCCTCAGCTCGACTAAGCAAACCCTGAAACGAAGGATGGTTCAAATACGAGATCGGAAGCACGAATCTCTTCTTGTTCTCCATCTCTTCTCCAACGTAAACCGCAACATGTCCTTTTGGGACACGAGACTGTTGTTTTTGGGACTGTTTAGAGTTCATAACACGCGACAATCGTATAGCCATGTCTAAAGCAAGAGATTTATAGAATCTTACAAGAGTACTCTGTTTTATGAAAGTGGAGAAAGATTGATGTTTTTGGTGGAGTTGTGTTTCAGTTAGTTGTTATTTATAGATGAGTTTCTTAAAGGTCAAGGAATTAAATTTTGAAGTTGAGTTTAATTACAACAGATTTTTATTGTATTTAATAATTAGGAGTTTGCAGGGTTTCACATGGGATCTGCTTAAAAAAACTATGGCTTACCTAGAAAAGCATCAAGCTGATTCTGATTTCTCTGGGTGACTTTAGAATATAATCAGATAGGGACCACCAAAGTTACAGAACTCACATGCTCTCTCTCCCTCTCATTAAAATCTCTGGCCATCACATAAAACAGGTTTGGTCCTATTGGCTATGATGAATTGACAACAGAAACAAGTGTCCTTAATGATGATTGATGACTATACAAATTTGACAAGTCTCTTGTTGGCTCTTGAAAATGGTGGCTTTTGGTCTATATGTGTCACCCCTATTGCCCTGCTCAAGATAACCTTTGTGTCTTAACTAAAATTGTGTTTACAAAACTTAATCTATATATCATAATAAAATATACTAATAAATCTTTTTGGTCAAAATTACTATTAAATCTATATATAGTATTATTATTAAAATCTGTAAGAGGACCCTTCTTGTATAATAGTAAGCTTGGAGTCACGAAAATGAGATAACATTGAACATGCATTGTTTCTTTGTGTTCTTACAATGTAGATCAATATAACATTTAGGTACAAGTTGTATGTCTAAAAGAGTCATTTTATTTTCTATATCTTTAATAGGATTTCTACGTTAGAACACCAGAACTCAACAACAATAGTTCAGTGAATAGTTCAGTCATCACTGAATCTACAATGAATTTATTTAAGACCAACATTTGCTTTCAACACCATACCACGGTGGAAGGTTCGGTTCTTTCAATAAGGTAAAGTCAATTGGTTGAAAAATAATTACCTGTTTGATAAAAAATAATTAATTAAAATATTTAGTATAAATCGCATGTATTTATGTATTGATTAGGGCAGTTATAAGAACATTCAGTTATTGTAAAGACGGTCACGTGTTTCATTTGCATTATTACTATCACAATTATATCTTCCTAATAACAGAGAGTAACATGTGCTTGACAATCTATATATGCAATGATTTAGATATGATTTATCGTAAAGTTTCATAGAAAAAAATCGAGCAGTACTGTTTCAAACATTTTAATACATATAATTTGTTTGTTATTCGAAGAAAATATGTCCTCTTTTGATTTATCAACGGTTACATACTACAACCTATTTAGTTTATTCAGTGTGCATGTGATCCACTATTCCTTTAAATACATAATGTAAGCCAGAACTGGTTATTTACAATAATCAAGTACAATTATAATTTATGTGATGGAGTGATTTCCCATTATGTAAAAAAGTTTCCGTGTTTATAATAATAATAATTTTCTTAACAGTACTATTAGAGGCAGTACTATAATATTTGGCCATTTAATTTTTTCAGTATATACATTCGTTTTCAATATATAAGGGATTAATCAAACAAAAAAAAAAGTCAAAATAATATCTTTCGCGAAAGCTTTAAAGTTCATGAGTCTTCACAAGCTTTAAAAAATTTAGTCTAACCAGCCTCTAAATATTGAGCTTTTGGTGGTTTGGATATGAATACTTGCACAACTATTAAAATCTTATTTCGAAACACAAGCGTTGAACAAATGTCATATACACACAACGAAATTTTATATAATTATCAGAGAGAACAAAAAAAAAAAAGATTCGTCAAAACCCTACGAAGACTATTACTTAATCAATGTTCTCCTCAATGCAGCTGATGAGAAGAAATGAGATGAAGAAACGCTTCCTCTCGACAAGGAATCGTCAAACCACCCATTGGATGATGAAATCCAAACTCTTCCTCTGCGCGATTAAGAAACTCTCTGAACAAAGGATGGTTTAAGTATGATATTGGCACCACAAACCTCGTTTTCTCCATTCTTTCCCCAACGTAAACCGCAACGTGACCTTTAGGAACAAGCGCTGAAGCTGTTGTAGATGATGGTGATCCGTTTTTGTTCCTCATAGATTGTGATTTGAAGATTTGCTTTGCATTTGGAAGCATGGACCGCACTAAACCCATATCCTTCTTTGTTTTTAAATGGAAGCAAGTGACTTGAGAGACAAGGAGGAGGAGAAGAAGTTTCTATATATAGTAGTAAACTTAAAGCATGTAACTTCAAGATAAGGAAAAGACTTGAATGCTAAAATAACAGCAAGATGCGATTCTTTATAAAAACCCCCAAAAGTTATGGGCTGCTAGGCCCTCCCGTCATCCATCTGGCTCACATGGCTTAGCTCATCTTAACATGCTTAACATACATATGTATATATAAAAGTGTCACTGCACGTAATGTACGTTTTTATATGATTGCCAATATAAAAGTTTGGTGTGTATATCTAATTAGAGCCTCGAAGTGGTGAATAGTGTGGCCTGGGTCAGACTTAAATGTAAGGGGTCCAGTTCTTAAACCACTTTTAGCTATGGTTGATATTTATATTTGGTGAAATCAATACGTACCTATGATAAGTTCCAAGTCTTAGAGTAGATTTTTCCTTTGCTCTCAAACTAGGGGCTGTACTGCTGGGACAAACTATGAGCTAGCAAAGAGATGGTTTTATTATTCATTGAAATAAAATCTTATTTTAATATATATATATAAACAGTATAAGCTTTTTAATGCAACTCTATAAATAGTTCGTCAAAAAAATTCTATAAATAGTTGGATGAAGTTATTTGCTATTGGATAAGACTGACTAGCTATCTTTGCATGTGATTATGAGGATGATTGTGATTGTAGATACAGGCTTACAGCTATTTGCTATATGTGGCCTAATCATCTTTTTTCTTATATTATTTGATTGTGTTAGATAGTCTGGTAGATATATATGTTCCTCGCAGTCTTGCAGATGGAAACTGAAAAAGTTCATGAATATTTGGCCTACGCATCATCGCAGGAGTATCTTTTGCGTTTGTTCTTATAAGATTATGAATCAATTTTATCTTTCAGTTATTTTCAGATTAATTAAGAGGTGGACCTCTTTAGCCACAGATTTCCGTGACTCCTATGTCCAGTGTCAAAATCATACGGATGATCATCTATAAGTTTAGGTGACTAATGACGACACCTATAATGATTTTTTTGTTTGGGTCTTCCTGTCACAACTGTAGCTTTACTACTACCTCTATTTCACAATACATGGTGTTTTGTCTTGATACACATTAAAAAAAAAAATCAAAAAATCAAAAAAGTTGGAAAATACTAGTATAATTAAAAAATTATTCTATCAGTTATAGAAATAATTGCAAAATCTAATTGATTACACAGTTTTCAATAAAATTAAACATAATATCAAAATATCATCTGTTTTGAAACAACAAATCTTCTAAAACTTCATCTGTTAAAAACAGAGGGAGTATTAAACATGCAGAGGTGATTAAAATTTTGAAACCAAATATATTATGTCATCCATAAATTAATGGTATATACGGTCATTGAAGTAACACATGCAAAAGGAACATGAGATTGTTGAAGAAATCTCGGATCAGAAAATGAAACTGAACGACTACTCATTGTTAGTCTGACATCGCTGAAAGATTCCACCGAAACTATATAATATACAAAATACAAAAAATGAGAAACTAATGTACCAACCCGTGGGCGTCTATGAGCTTTTTTGATAACATATGAGGTTATACTTAATTACTAGATGAAGATCTGAGTCTTACACGAAAATTATGTATACAAATTATTATTTATTTTATATTTATGTATTATAATATATAAATATAATGAATAATTGATAACAAATGACTATTATATATATACATATATATATATAGGAGTCAGCATCTAAATCAAAACAATTCAATTTCCTTATAATATTTTATTAATGAATAATATATAATAATCATTTTATTTATTGTCTATGTTATATAATTAATTTAAATGATTTTATCATAGATGTATAGTATATGTTAATATGAATATTTATTTATCGAGGCTTAGCATTCATATGATTTTATTAACAACTGTATATTTTTTGTATCAAAAAATTAAATCATTAATCAAAAAAATTAGGTGTGAGATTTTTAATATTTTTAGTAATTTATAATTGTTTCAAAAAATTCTATGTTAATTTCAAAAATAAAATATTAAGATCTCAATACTTTTTCAGTGAAAATTTCAAATAACATATTTTGTATTTTTATCTGGTATATAATTTAATTTAAAGAATAATATATATATATATATATATATATATATATATTAATTTGAATATCTCTTAAATAAGACATCATATTCATATGATTTTATAATAATATTTATCTTGTTATAAAAATATTAAACCATTGATTACCAAATTTCAATATGAAACTTTTAACAATTTTATTTATAGTCGTTTTAAAAATTCAAATTATAACATATAAGAAAAAACTATTTTTATTATATGATTAATGTGATTGTGTAATTTATTTTAAAAATATAAGATTAAACAAAAATAATGGAGGATACAAAATTGTTATCAAATATTTATTATTCAAAATCATTAATTATCATATATATATATATATGATAATCATATTATGTTTTTCATAGCTTTTATTTAAGCCAAAATAGAGAATATATTTCCTTACACTATTAATCAATTTGATAATTAATTTAATAAAAATATAATATATGTTTAGATGGAACAAAATGATTTCTAAAAATTCTTAAAATCATCATAATGATAACATGTAGTTGCCTCAAATGTTGTGTGCTTCTTAATTAATATATAAGAGATTATCACTAAAATTAATATTTTTGTTATTCATTTTGAATATCATTAGTTTGCGGCGTCTATAACTTTATTACGAAAAAAGTATGTAAGTATTCAAAATAAATTATAATAGATATAGATAGATAAATCTCTGAAAATATATAGATATAGAGAGATCTAATAAAAATATATTTATAGATAGGTCTATTAAAAATATTATAGAAAGATCTATTAATTTTTTTGTTGGTAAATTAAAGTTCTCAAATTTAGAGAAAAGACAAATTAAATCATTATATTTAGTTTTTTACATTTATAAATCCACAATTATTTATGATATCATTTTTAATATTTATAACTCTGAATAACTACTCTTAAACCAACAAACCTTCATCCTATAAATTAAATGTATTACATATGTATTCATCTCTTTTCAAGCTATAGATAGTTAGTTAATTTGAAAGGTAGATATGATTAAGTTCAAAGACATAGTTCTTCAAGCAAAAAGAATAGTTCTTACAAAAATATCGCGTATAAGGCACATTATCAAGGTGCCAAAGGGCCACTTTACTGTATACGTTGGAGAAGATGAAAAAGAGACAAAGAGATTTGTTGTTCCAATCTATTATTTGAAACATCCTTTGTTCCAAGCTCTGTTGCATCTATCTGAAAATGAATTTGGCACAGTTTATTCGAGGAAATATCTCACGATCCCTTGTGCTGAAGATGTCTTCATTGACGTTACTTCTCGTTTGAATCGAATTTAAAAACATAGTGCAAAAAAAAAGTTTGATTATCAGTTTGGTTAGGTGTCTTATTTATTTTTATAAGCATAAAAAACAGTAATAAAAATGTAAAAGAAAATTGGCTGGAAAATTGTATTCATGTCTGACCAATATTACAAATATTTAGTTATTTTAAGTTATTTATATTAAAAAGAAATATTAAAATCTAAATTTTTAATAAAAAAATAGCCTTTCCGCAATATTGCAGGACTATTTTATTGGTACCTCGAGTTAACTAATTCACTAGTAGGTTTACGGGTACCTTTAAAATAAAATATATTGTTACAAAACGTCAACATGGGTACATGTATCTGATTACTGTAATTTGTTAGGGACATTTTACATTATGAAGTTCTTTCTTAAATTAATTACTGTGGCGACAAAAGAAATGAATTACTCCCACAAAAGTTGCTTGTATAAAAAGCAAGCTAAGATTTAATCAATACATATAGGAAAAGTAAGCAACTCGACATAGAAAAGAAACTTAAATTAAATTTCTGAGCAATTGAACAGTTTACAATCGGAACAGTTAAAAGAACTCGCTCTTCTTAGATCCAAAACTGAAAAGAGACTCACTTAGTATCCCAATCTCGAGTTATTCTCTACACGGCCTTGGATACATTGAAACCAAAAAGAAACACAATATATTTGTATAAATAATCGTAATGAATGTTGGGATTATCAGTGACCTCCATTATCATGAACCATTTAGAAAAGAAGCTAGAGCAGTGAAGTAATCTTCAGTGCAAGGGATTGTTAGACCTCCCATGGGATGATCGAACCCAAACTCTTCTTCCGCGAGATTCAACAAACTTTGGAACAAGGGATGGTTTAAGTATGATATAGGTATCACAAACCTCTTCTTTTGGTAAGTCTCACCAACATAGACGGCCACATGACCCTTTGGGACATTATTAGTACCTGACACGGCCAAGAGGCTCGCGATCCTCGCTGATAAGCTTCTTTGAAACTTCTGCTTGGCGTGAGACAGTCCAATCAACTGAATACCCATTTTGAGGATTAATGCAAGTAATTAAGAAGGGGGATCTTGAAAGGAGGAAAAATATTAAGTGATGAATAATCTACTATCTTGGACTTTTACAGAAATGGATTAGGTTAGTTTGTAAGCAAGATTCTTAAAGTGTGTAAGTATATATAGGAAAACTTAAAGAGTTTGTGACCGTAAATCACTCGAGAGTAATAGTTTGGGGGACATATCAGGTGGAGCTATTGGATGAAGTTCACATGCTTATGCCTTGTCTTCTTAGAAACCACTTTTTTTTCTTTTAGTAATGAAACATGTTTATAAGACCCTACCATTCCCAAAGATGAATTCTAACAACTTATTACCTCTTATATGAATAGAATCAAAATATGAATGGACAACATGTTACAATCAACTTGTATGAGATTATTACTTTTGATAAAGACTTCCATGTATTCAATGCTTTGCTAGATAACAATTAAACCTGACTAAAGTGCCTTCAAACTAGGATCGGGTTTAACTCAAGTGAAATAGTTTAAGGAACATATCAGGTGGAGCTATTGGATGAGGTTCACATGCTTATGCCTTGTCTTTCTTGAAACCACTTTGTATTTCTTTCTTTTTGGTGAAACATGTTTATAAGACCCTACCATTCCCGACTATGAATTATAACAACGTACCATCTCTTATATGTATAGAAGCAAAATAAGAAAGGAAAAACTGATACAATCAACTTGAATGAAATTGTTACTTTTGATAAAGACATTCCATTGGATATATAAAAGGTGTGTTCGGAAATTGGATGTATACAATGCTTTGCTAGATAATTATTAAAACCTGAGTGATTTGACGTACCATATTAAGCAAACTGTATCAGATTAGGACTTTTTGGTTTGTGGGGTTGAGGTCTACGATCCATCATAGTCCCATACTTTCAAATAGGCCACAGCCCACATGCAATAAGTAGATAATAAGTCATACATGAATTCCAGTTAACTATCCCAAGCATCGTTTCTCTATACAAGGTTAAATTAATCCACAACACGTGAAAGGAGAGGAACCATTCGGCTGCTTGGCTACAGAAATTTTGGAATTTTCTGATTTAGAGGATCAAATGTTTCCGATCTCTATACAGTTTAGTGTGGTTCAAAATATTTTCTCACTAACTAATTTAGGAAATGGTCTGAGTTCAAATTTTTTTTTTTTTGTTATAATTATGAAAACAGAACAAATTGTCTCGACCTATATGATGTTTTGATAGTTTATCTGCAACCTTATTTGCTGGTTCATCGCAAATTTATTATTCCTGAAGAACAGAAAGAAAATGAAAAACAATTAAAGTTCAAGAAAGAAAATGCACATTTCTTGAAACTTTATAGAATTTCTACATTGATATTCAACTCGATATTTTTCAGCCGTGCAAAATAGTTAATTTATTTGGGAACAAAATCATCTGCATTTGTTGAACCACTATAGATAATGGCTGCGAATACAGAGATGAACTGAACGTACCCATAAACAGCAATAACAAAAAAAAAGCTAAATGAACAAAATCCAAAACTCTTTGAGACAAATGCAACTAATGGTCTTTGTTTAGTTGTTTTTGTCCCCGTGACCGTTTGACTGTATTTGGCATAATGGAGGTACTCAAAAAGGCGAATGGAATTATTGTGCTTCAAAGCTTTATTATTGGATGGATTTGAATATGTTAGTGTTTGGCAGCTACTACATACAACACGAGGGCTTCATCATCAACTCACTGACTCTTTACGTTTGACCTAAAAAAGCTAGTAAATGTTATTGGGAGATCTTGTGACGGTCCATTCGTGGATATCCATGTTTCTGCTCTCGATTTCATTTTCGTTGCTTTACACCTATATGTAGATTCTTTCGGATAATGGCTTTTCATATGAAATAATTAGAGAGCATGTGCTGTGACCTACCAAACTATAGAGGGAGCGTTTGACCTATGACAAACTTTTCATTATCGTGTTAGAAGGGATTAGTAACTTTCTCGAAACTGTAATTTGTATTTCAATTTCGAGAAGAGTAGAATATGTCAAACATAAATATGGGTTCGACGAACTTACAGGGTTTAACCAAACAAAAGAAATCTATATCCAAACAAACAAGAAGAAAAATAAATCAAATTTGAATGGATGATCATGTACCTAACTTTGGGCTAAACATACCCCATTGGCCCAAGAGTTTATCATATTGGAAAAGTATCCAAGAAACCTTGGTTTTCTATGTCATTGTTCTAATTTCTAAATGGTTATTTACACTCCCTTTTACAAGAGGAACCAATTGGCTCAAAGATTAAGTTAAGTTTTATTTTCCAGAAATTATCTAAGATTCACATAAGGTTATGGTGAGAATAATTCGGAGATAGAGTAAGTGGAAATTTATTGATCAATGTTTCTTTCTTTCTCCGTTTAGTCGTTTTCTAAATGTAGGGAGCTCAGAAAATCATTACGATTCATACCACAAGGCACGCATATGAAAATAAATGCAGCATAACAATAAATGGTATTACGAGATACGTGGAAACCTCAGGTAAATACCATCCCACCATCTGCTTCTCATCCAAAATCGGTTTTTGGTTTATATTCGTTTAAGAACTGTGGATCGATTGGCAATTTAATAAAATCCATTCGGGTAATCAAAGACGATTAGAAGACCAAGAATAGTTGTAGTAATTAAGTTATATATATAATTGAAATAATTATCTCTTTATTTTTGAATATCTCAGTAATTACTATTAGTGCATCTATATATATAGAAGTATGCGAATACATACCTATATGTTTCACTTGTGTATGTATATTCAGTTAATATTTTGCATAATTTTTAAAAAAATTCAGACTATATATATATATATATTTAAAAACCTTTTTGATGCGACCCATACAACATTACATCATAAAACTGAAGAAGCAATTGCATTTTTTTTGACGTACGCCTTCAAAGTACAAGCATTGGCTGGATACATAAACACTGACGCATATGATATGGATCGGATGGGTCCTGAATTAGCTGTTTAATACATGTCAATCCGATCCAATAAATGCGTTTATTATATTTTGATGCAGCGGTATATATTGGCGATGCTATTTATTCATGATCATCGTAGGACATGAACATGTGAAAACAAGGCAGTGGGAAATAGAAAACAGAAAGACATACGGTAGACTAAAATCGAGTGACTCATGGCCCTGGTCTAGCTCATGTGATGAATATTTGGTACAACTTATATATATACGACTAAAAATCTTTTCTTTTGGATAAAACCCAGAAACTAAACCCTCTAAACCAAACAACCCAAATGGACTCGTTTTAGAAAATCGAACGAAAAAGTTGAAAATTACAAATATGGTTCATGAGAAAATGGTAACCATAGGAGCATGCATAATGAACGAATAAGAAAAGATGAAAATAAAACTATGGGAATAATAAAAAATGATTATTTCTTATCAAATTTAATAAGAAATAAATTTATTCTATATTTCTCTATGACAAAAATAACGCAGAGGAATGTGGAAAACAAAAATTTATAAATGGTAATTTTTTTAAGAATATTAAAGAATACATTGTTTCTCTTCGTTATTTGATCACCATTCATAGCCAATATGTTTTGCCATACATATCTCAAAACATTCTTGGGTTTTTATAAACTCAAACTATATCTGATAGTTAGTAAGATGAGCAGTTACTTTATAGTTATATTTTTAATTTGAATTTATGTTATACTGTATAAGGTTTTTAAGGCATCAATTTCACGCGTATTTATGGCAAAAAGTTGTGAAGTAAGAAATAAACGGACCAAGGAGTAACATGGGGGTTCATGTGCTTACACTGACCCTAATATCACCATCGAACAACACCGCCAACGAAGAAAGACAACATTCACTATGCAAAACATATAAACCATTCGGTGGAATTGATTTACTGGCCAATAAAATTAAAGATAGAATAAAAGAGTATATAAAATGAATAATTACTAATTTGAATGAAAAAAAAAAACACAATGGGCCATATGCTCATGGTCATCTTGTTTCAATTAATCACGTATTCCCACGATCCATTCTATACACAACATAAAAAGCAAACAAATAAAATGCATGACCACGTACATGTACGTGTCGTTACTTTTTTTCCACTAACATGTTTCTTCCATCTTTGGACTCTTTGGATATTCATTTTTCTTATTTAGATATCTTTGTTGTGGTCCCGTGGATTAGACCGGACCTCTGTGGGGTTGAACAACATAAACTCTAAACCCAAGTCTCCAACTTTCGCATAACTATATGGTGTTGAATCGGGATTTTCCTTAATCCGCCTAGCATAGTTCTGTCATTGCCTTTATATCAAGTTATCAACCACTCAAAACTTAAATGCAGATCGAATGCAATGTTGATAAATTGTATATCAACAACATTTCTTCAACCGTCTAAAAGACTAATTAAAACTACTTAAAGCATAAATCCATTGAAAAAAATGAAACGAATTAAATTTGTTTATTCGGATCTAGTTATGAGAAGCTGCAACTAGATATAGCTAGTCTTCTTGTTTAGTTAGTTATAAATTATAATTTCTATACAAAATGTTGATCTCATCAAAAAGGTTTAAATATTTATCTAATTAAGAGTCGATTAGGACAAAGATGATTAGGACCTAAATAGGTGGCTCCTAAACGAATAGGTCGTAACTCCCAAGACAGTGCATGTGGGATTGTTTAAGACAAAACCATGTTTTGTTTTAATGATGGTGATAATCAATTTTGAATGTGACTATCCAGCTTTCAAAGTTTTGTGACTAAACCAATCCCGTCCATTATGGAAAATATATTCTTTGGATTTTTCTTTTTATTTCACTTAAACACGGACCTGCGGTGCCGGTATAGGTTTGTAAAAGTGATGTTTCAGTTGAAATTTAACATCTCGTCCTGTTACCAAAGAATCTAAGTTTTGAAGCCTAAATAGCTCACTGACTTATTGAGTCCAATCCGAAAAGATTGTGTTTGAGGCCAAAATGTTTTCAGATTTTTTACGCTAATATATGGTAATATCAACAGCTTTCTTTTTTTAGGGTAATATGAGAAAATAGATAGTTTTAAAAAATAT